AACGTGATTTTCCGCTCACAGACGCACATACGATTTTTCGCTCACAACCAACGGGGCCGACGCCGGCGGCGGGTACGAGCTCTTTAACGCTATCGCGTTAAAATCGCCTGCTTCCCTGCCCACAAAGAGTTACTGGCTTAGCTCCTGCGACTGCGCTGCGTTTTGATCGACATAACTTTCCTGAAGGCTCGTTGACGTTCGACGGAGTGCATCATTGCAACTTCCTCGCCATTGCAACGATCGGCGTCACTACTGAGTCAAGTCCATCCTCCAGCCCGGTTCACTGTAGGAGGGCCACTTTTCGAGACCATGCCTAGACTACGCGCCGGAAGGGGTCCTTCGCGTGCTCCCCTGCGGCGGCCACCCACTTCACGTCCGGGTGGTGGTAGCAGCAGCAGCGAGGAAGTATAGTACCACGGCCGCTGGATAGTACACTCTGGTCTTCGCGCGCAGCGGGACAGCGGCGCGCCTGATGCGCACGAGCATAAAGGAGGCTATGGCACGAGTGACCCGGAAACAATCGTGCCCGCGCGGCGCGTCGGACTTCCCCTCCGCGCTTCTCCTCGTCTTCTCTCTCCCACCTGTTCGTCATGGACGTGACTGCCGCGGATACGGCTGGGACGTTCATCCGCTAGTCACCCTTTCATTCTTCCCGCGCGACGGGTTTGTTCCGTTTATTTGCGTTTCGTTGCTACTTACGCACCTGGTGGATCCAATGCGGGTGGCGGACTGTACCGGTGGCGCTGTCACTTGCTTGCCGGCCACAAGTTCTGCGATAGCGCCCATTGTTTTTTGTGCATTTGGCGCAGGTCAGTGCAAAGCAGAGTTTCTCTTGCAGGTATTTCCAACGGCAGACATGCAACTTCAGAAATAAAGTTTCTTCTCCCTTTCAATTTTCGACAGAATGGCGATTTGAATTCCTTTAAAAATATATCAATTCGAAGGACACGAATTGGAATAGGGAAGTGAGTTCAGTGGAAAAGCGATATCAGGCCCCATTCGCATCGCCTTCCCATTGGCTTTCCATGCTTTGCTTGTTGGTGGACACCTCAGATGTGCTGTGAGGGAACGAAAATCTGTTGTGCATGTGACATTGGCCATTGTAAAATCTCATAGTGTGCCTACTGCACTAACATTAATCACAGTCTCAAAGCACCCACTACATGTCTGTAAGGCAATACATGCAGGTATCTACACACATTGTTGATGCTTTTGGCAGCTTCTGATGATGATGAACTCTAGGCTCACCCTTTTTTAAAGGATTGGTAGCTTTCAATGACACAATGTTTATGAAATTCAGATGGTTTGATGCCTGATGCAATTACGCTCTTCTTTCATTCAACATTACATCTGGTAACATGACTGCTTGCCTGAATCACATACGGGTCTTTTTTTCCAAAGCAATGTCGAACACTAGTGTGGCTCTGTGGTGAATAATTAATTGCTAGACAGTATTTGATTTTGGCTTGAACACTCACTTTAATTATTTGAATCCACAGGGATTGTTTGCTAATGAATTATGTAAACACCATATTTTTTTCAACATGAGCAATTGTGTTAAAACAGGATAAGTTCATTTGAGGCCAGGTAAAAAAAAAATGATTAAACCTCCAATATTGATAATGTGCTTATGCGGTAGAAGGCAAAGTCATTGGCACCTCTGCAAAATGGCTTATGTAACTGCACACAAAATGATGTGGCTCACGGGTTTAATGCCTCTGCGTACTTGTCAGACTAAAAGTTTAATACATTGAGCAGGGTATTATCAAATAAACAGTAATGTACTAATGCAGAGTGCACATTTCACACACTCGAACCAAAGATGCCTTAATGGCAAACAGACTTTTGTTTGTGAGGTTGAACTGAACGAAGAACGAGGACTCTGGAAACCTGGACAGAATCAGTGCTGATCAGAACTGGTCCTATGTGCTCATTTTTCTAGCATCCTTATCCTTCGTGATGGTAAGCTTTGGAGATATCACATCAACTCACCCAAACCGATGCAGTCCTCAACCCATTTTCAGATCGATGCTATTGTCACGTGGTCGTGACATTGATGAAGGCAGCAGTCTTTATGCCCAAGATGTAACTTTTTTTTGGCCGAACTTGTGGCCGGACAACGGAAAGTCGCATTACAACAACACAAACTGGCACTGGTAGGAGTGAACAGAGTGTCGGCCGTCGGTCAACTAATCCAAGGCAAGGAACGTCGGCATTTATACACGTGGCATCAAACATTCAAGCATTATCACCAGTGGTCGCATTTGTTCTAGAATCAACTCAGCTGTTCACATTTATGCTCTCAAGCCTAAGAAATGATCTCAAGATACTCTCAGACATTCTGGCGCAATTCGTGCAAGGCACTCGCTACCTACACGTGCGATGGACGGGCAACACGGAAAGGAAGGAGCATGCCTGGCACTATGGTCACTTGTTGATCTCTGCCTTGGCTGCCAAGTTACGACAGTGGCAAACTGAAAAAAATACTCATGTATTGGGATTTATGTTCATGTTGAGGAATCTTAAGTGATGAGAATTATGGTAGAGCGCACTACTACAGCTGCTATGAGAGACTCTGCTCTGGCCTGTCAAATGATCATGACATTGTTTTGGTATTTAAGATGCTTGTTGATCAATTCATGTTGACACGATGTTTTGTATGGAAACTGAAAGAACTTTTCAAGAAAGTAGCTGATGCATCTTGGTAGTATTATAGATTATCATTTAATTGAATTTATGTGTTCACATTACTGCATAGAAAAGTGCAGCACATTTAAATTAAAGTCTGCAGATCACACACATAGAGGAGTTTTCTGATAGCATAAGTAGTCATTTGATGGGTCAGTTTAGGACAATAGAGTGGTAAAAATTTTTTTGGCGTGTTTAGCACTCTTTGTTTCCCACCAGGTAGCATCAAAGGATGCTCGCCATGATGCGTCAGCTACCTCAGATGTCAATTCTTTGAGGATTTGCATTAAAAAGAAAAGAGAGAGATTATGTCTGCTTACACTTGAGTTAAAAACTAGTTCATGTGCATTTATCATTACAAAGTAAATTGGCTTTGGTTTATTGAAATGTTTTTCCCAAGTCATCTAATATGACTAGAAAAACAATTATATGAGTGTGGTTAGATATTTGTTGTCCTGATTAATATGAAGGCACATTAAGTTGAAATATTCAGGCTTTTCTAAAACATTGATATGTGAGGTATAACGTCCCAAAACCACCATACGATTATGAGAGACGCCGTAGTAGAGGGCTCCGAAAATTTTGTCCTCCTGGGGCTCTTTAACGTGCACCCAAATCTGAGCTCGCGAGCTCACAGCATTTTCGCTTCCATTGAAAATTCAGCCGCCGCAGCCAAGATGCGATCCCGCGACCTGCGGGTCAGCTGACCCCCACTAGACCACCGCGGCGAAGTGGCTTTTCTAAAACAAATGACAATCTTCTTTTCTGACATGTTACCTCCCTGATTAATTCTTGTGATGAGTATTTTTTCTCCTTGGGGATTTCCAGCTGTTGTACAACAGCAAAAAGAAGTTGGAAATCGTTCTGTGACATCATGGCTGCACATCAATCGCTGTTATAGCACGCATGGCCGACTTTCCTTATTGAGCTATCCTGTGCTGGGCATACAATGAATGAAGCACTTTGACAGGCCCATTTAATGGGACAAGGTCCCGCCTGAAATCTTTCACTCTGCCTTTCTGTCGCTGTGACCTGACTGAAGTCAAACACAGCTAGTATCAGAAAGAAAAGAACACGGAAGGCTCATAAGGGCACGCTGCAGCGGCCCCAGCTGCACATGTGGCTTTCCTTGCGTGTGATATGTCTCCCCCCTCGCCCTCTGCGATTGTTGTTGAAATTTTTTGTTTTCCCCCTCTTGCCGTACGCATCTGTCAGCCAAAGCATTGTTGTTACCTTCTCTGTTCTCTCCCTTTCTGTCGCCGTTTCCCCCTCACCCTCTGCGGTTGATCACGTGTTTCAATGCTCTGTGGCATTGTAATTGTTTAGCGTTCGCACAGAGATGCGTTGCAAGCATTGTAGGCGTAGCCGCTGCGCATGTGAAGCGCGCATTCCTCGCAGGCGGTATGAACCGGGTGCGTATGCCTGCTTTTGCGTAGTTCTCTCTGGTGGGTTTATGTACATGCTGGGTAAATATCATCCTCCCTGTGGGGGGGCAGTAGGCATCATGGCTTATCGATCCTTTGAGTGAATTTTTACATTGATCTGCATTTCTGTTAGCTACAAGTAATGCTGCATTGGCTTCCATATTAGTTTACATATTAAGAACAATATCAAGGAACATTTCCAGTGAATAGCCACAAAGCTCTTGATGTAGCTTCTGCCAAGACATTTTAATCCATTTCAAGTCGTACCTTTCATTCATAAGGAGTTCCCTGCAAACTGTTATGCTTGATGTATTTGCTACACTCTTGCACTTTACTATCTCTTGTTATTATACTTCTCTTTTTAATTATCTCTTTCCTGTTCAATCAGTTATTGTAGCTAAAAAACTGCTCTCATGTTTACTTGCATGGATACAGCATTGTAGTTTGGCAACTTCTGAACACTGCCAATTAGATTAGCATAATTGCTATTAGAAACCCTGTAATTGCAATAGTAGTGCTGTTATCATCTATCATATCTTGACTGGAGCAAATCTCATTTTCATGTTTGCGGTTATTGGCACCTGTTTCGGAATCTTCCTTTATGTTTGCACTCTTTCATTGTGCCGCTACTCCCCCAGCGTTCAATTTGGAGAGAATACAATGCCATGCGAACATGCTAAGGACATTTGGCTGTAGGCAAAGACTACCAATTCAAGTTGAAAAAAGAATGTGTTTTAATTGGTTGCTTTAAAGTTTTGGCTGGGTAACATCTAATAGTTATGTACTTTTTACAAATGTCTCTTAATAACACTGTACGATAATTGTGTGAGTTTTATAAGCTTTATTGCCTAATGTTATGTTGCCCCTTTTCTTTTTTGTGTTTTGCAGATATTCAAGAAATACCGGAGAACATTAAGTATCTCAAGTCCCTCCAGAGTGCAGACTTCAGCAGCAATCCACTTTCCAAGTGAGTTGACACCTTTGGTACAAACTGGGCCATGCAGTCTCTAACGCGGGCATGTTTGAATTTTTTCCTTTGATTCTAGACTTCCTGCTGGTTTTGTACAACTTCGAAGCTTAACAGTATTGGGCCTTAACGATGTGTCATTAACGCAACTGCCCCACGACTTTGGAAGGTGAGCTAGTATTTTATATCTATGTATGTATGTTTTCTCTTTTCTCAAAAGGTGAAGGCTCTTACCAATATTTTTCAATTCTTGTACAATACAGTGTTATAGAAACATTACAAGCTGTTTTTTAACTAGTATTTTATATCTATGTATGTATGTTTTCTCTTTTCTCAAAAGGTGAAGGCTCTTACCAATATTTTTCAATTGTTGTACAATACAGTGTTATAGAAACATTACAAGCTGTTTTTTAACATTAGCTATTGCTTGAGCTATTGCCTTGAGTCGTGCTAACTGCTGCTAAGTGACTTCGTCCGGCTTTTTACAGTTTATCAAATCTTGTGTCCTTGGAACTGCGGGAAAACTACTTGAAAGGCTTGCCACTCTCGTTTGCATTCCTTGTCAAACTTGAGCGGCTAGATCTTGGGAGCAATGACTTCGAAGAGCTGGTAAGATTATAGTCTGTTTCTCCATCTATTGAGATTATCATTGAGGATTATCATTGAGGTCTTCATCTCTTGAGGTCTTCATTGTTGTGCCAATCACACACCTTATCATTATACAAGCTGACTATGGCTGGTCAGCTGAAAGAAACATTATCTTTATCTTTGTTTTTGTTTCTTTCTTTATTCTTTTATTACCGATGTCAGGCTCAGATACCTTTATCATATTTAACATTTGTGATAAGGAGTATGCACTGATAAAAAAATATGGGTCTATTACTTATGTTCAGTAATTTCTTGTAACGGCATTTATTATATTGAAGTTCAGTTGTACTACCATGTGTGTTAAAGCATGTGCATTTCTCTTTTTGTTTGTTTTGAAGGGACACTAAAGGCAACTATTAAGTTGACGTTGATTGTTGAAATAGCAGTCCAGAAACGTCGTAGTGTTACTTTTGTGCCTACCTTGAAATAAAATCATGATTCGGAGGTACGCATTGGGTCAGTGCACTTCAAATTGTCCGCCTCAAGAAGAACGTGTCACGTCACTGCTGCCGTGCACAACGTTGTCCGTCTTTACTGCGCGGCTGCCGACACTAGTAGCTGCAGAACGAAGGTAGTGGGAGCCACAGCAGCAACAATGGCCATTGAACAATTTCCTGCCATGGCCTCTGAGATGGCAGATGTGCTTGGTTCAACTGGGCCCCGTTAGATGGCATAACCTATCTAGTTTAACCAGGCGAGAATTGAACTCTTTAATCACTCGGGCCATTTTCTATAGTAACGGCTGGTGGTTCTTTTTTCCATGAATGAAACAGAAGTGAACAACCAGCATTTCATTGATGCACAGAAGGTTCTTTATTTAGTGCAGCTAGTTGGATTACACGTGATTAATTGTAGGCGGTACCTCTCATGTCATCAAAATGATTTTTCGAATGTTTTATGTGTAGGGCATGTGTTCTCATGCATTACCTTAATTTCTTGGTAAGTAGGGCACTGCTGTTGATAATATTGCCATTTTAGACGTTGTCATACATTGAGTATTCACTCTGACATAAATTGTTATTTGGCTTTAGTGTCTTTTTAAGGTTATGCTTACAGTGACATTTTCTTTCTGTTAGCATTAGCTGCACAGTGTTTTGCTAGAGTACCATTAGACCAGGCCGTAGTTTGAAAACAGGTTGCCTCAATGAATCTCATTTTTGGCGTTGCATTAAGTGAGATTGATAACCAACTTGACCACATAACTATTTAGAGCCTTCGAACAACTCATTTTTGGTTGTCTTAACATTAGAATGCTCCGTTTGTTTATTGCTCTGCAGCCTGTCGTTGTGGGGCAACTCTCCAGCCTCCAAGAGTTGTGGCTTGACTCTAACGAGCTTTCTACCCTGCCTAAGGTGAGTTAGGTAACACACATTCCGAGTCGTCTAGTTATTGGTTGTCATAAATGACTAAATAATAATAATAATAATAATTTCAAGCTTACTTGAAAGGCTTGAATTTGCCGTCACTTATCATGATTAATCATCATCATTTTGCCTTTATGCTCACTGCAGGATTAAGGCTGTGATTTTCAGTCATTCCTATTTTGCACTAGTTGATTTGATGTGATTCCATATGACTACAAGCCTTAGTCGGTGCATATAGGATGAATTGGTCACCCATGATTGCATTCTGGTTTCACCAACTTGAATGACGCGACATAACTATTGTTTGAGTTCTCAACAAGCCATAAATTTACCTTGCAGTGTAGACAGCCAGCATGTCCATCATGCTAAGCATAATCATGACGAGGTTACCACTTGTTAGTGCCAGATAACTTTACTCATTTGAGTTTTTGTGTGTTGTGTGCGACACCTCTAGTGGTATGAATGGCCTTCTTACGTCAAGGGACGCTCTGTACTACATTGTGTAAGTGGGATACCATTATTGCTGACAATTGTTGCACCTGCACCATTTCTCTATTCAGGAAATCGGGCAGCTGAGGCGGCTCATGTGCCTTGACGTGTCTGAGAATAAGTTGAGCCACCTGCCAGATGAACTCTGCGACCTGGAGTCTCTGACGGATCTGCACTTCTCGCAAAATTACTTGGAGTCCTTGCCTGAAGACATCGGCCGGCTAAGGAAGCTCACCATCTTCAAGGTGCATAGTGGAAGTTAGAAATCGCTTCCCAGTTGCTTGTATATTTTTGAAAAGGGATTTACTTTTAACCGGGTAACTTTAAAAAGCCTTTGTCTCAGAAAACACATTGTTTTTGTCGTTATTGTGGATTGGAAACAAAAATCTGCATTGTCTGTAGGTGAAAAATTTTCATGAATGCAAGAAATAAGAAGTCATGGTGGAAACTGAATCGTACCCCACATGTTTCAGGGATACCATTAGTCACTGGGGTGATTTCTCGCTGCGACCCACCATCTGCTTGGGTATTCTGGGGTGTCAGTCGTGGCTCTGTTGACAGTGCAGATAGTTCAAGAGTACATATTATATGATTGCGAGTTGCAGGTGATTAAGGTGAAGCTTAAGCACCCTTATAACTTTTAGAAAGGAAGTATTGCACAAAAACGCAGCACACTAAAGAAAGAGACGACAGCACCTGTTCAAACTTGCAGCTGTTTTTTTCACATCTTTGGTGCCGTCTCTTTCTTCAGTGTGCCGTGTTCTTGCGCAATCCTTCATCTCTGAAAAAATTTACCAACTAGCCCCTAAGTGTGTGCTGCTAGACACCATCATATGTTTTAATACGAACACAAAGTTCGAAGATATCTTGGAGAATGAAAAGGCTTTTTTTCTATATGGAAATGCCTATCATCAGCCTTTACACACTGAAAACACAATGTATGAACAGCTTCGCACCATTTCCTGTCAAGATTGTTATGCCACGATGATAGTGCACGCGTAGCGCTAGTGCACGCGTAGCGCTTTCATGCGCTACGCGTGATACTTTCACGCGTAGCGCATGAAAGTATCAAGTATGCTGCATTAATGCACGTATAGACTTATAGCACGTATAGACTATATAGCACGCATAGCATGTATAGGCTGTATAGAGAACGAAATTTTTTGTAACATATTTCGGCCCATGGGTGAAAATGTCTTTGTGGTGTACGTTGCGCCCACCCACATACCCCCAGTAACCATGTTTCGCCCACCACTCTGCTCTAGGTTGACCAAAACAGGCTGGGAAGCCTGCCAGAGTCGATTGGGGACTGTGTGAGCCTGCAGGAGTTGATCCTGACCGACAACCTGCTGACGGAGCTGCCCGCATCAATCGGTCGACTGGTGAACCTGAACAACCTGAATGCTGACTGCAACCAGCTGTCCGAGTTGCCAGCAGAGATCGGTCAGCTGGTGCGGCTGGGCGTGCTGTCACTGCGCGAGAACTGCCTGCAGAAGCTGCCGCCTGAGACTGGCACGCTGCGGAGGTTGCACGTGTTGGATGTGTCAGGAAACAGGTTAGTCGTTGCAGTTGCTCATACAGACATGCCTTTGATGTGTGCATGCGTGCGGTCGACTTGTGTAGGTAAAGTGCATGCTCGATTTTTATGCTACTATTTGCAGCTTGGTAAACTAAGATAACACAGCGCATTCAGAGAAAGTGACTTTGATTGTAATTAGCCAACAAAGAAAGTATTATGATGTTCCAAGCATTACTTGGAAGAAGTAATCGTGAAAAGTTTTACTGTAGTCTGACCATCAGTACATCAAAACAGTGACCTTCTGTAGAGGGGAAAAAAGTTGACACCAGCACTTTTAATGAAAGTCACATAGCTTTAATGTAAAGCACTCGAAACCGCATTTTCTTTGCTTACACGTTACTCTTTAGTTTGCCAATCACCTTTAAACAAAATACTTTGTAAAGCTATCACCTTGTTTCTCAATTTCTGATCTGTAAATTGGTAATGTCGAATATTCATTGCAAGAATCAATGGACTGATGATATTTTGCATAAGTCTTCACTCTTGTTGGAATATAATTTTATCAAGTTCTCGTACTTCTCTTGTGATATGTTTTGCTGGAATGCTCACATGCCCTCTTCTCTATCTTTTTTTTTTTTCCCTTTAGGCTACAAAATCTACCTTTGACAGTGACTGCATTAAATTTGAAGGCATTGTGGTTGGCCAAGAACCAGGTAAGAAAAGGACCAAATTCTTTTCAACAGGGATGGATGTTTTTTTCCGGTCTTTCTTGGGTGCATCTTGCAGAAGTAAAATTGTTAAAAAACTTTTTTAGTTTGTGTTTTATGAGGGCTGTAAAAAGGCATCACAATTTATTTGCTATTGTTGGGCAAATTAATTAATTCTCCTTCCACTTAGCCATGTGCTGTTATCTGTAAGAATTCATTGATTTGAATTTATTTGCATTTCTAATATCAGTCATGCCAATTGGCTAATGCCAATTTTAACAAAAATGCAGCATTGATCAAGCCAGTGTCAAACTATTAAAAGAATAAAATAAGAAACAAGTGTTTTGGTATATTGCGATGGCTTATGGTTACTGTTGGATCACAGTGAACAGGCATGTTATAGAACTAACAAAAGCCACAGCCAGGGAGCCGTGGATAGCTCGGAAAGTGGAAAGTGCTAGAGTGTCATTATTGACTGGAGCACCGATGCACCACGGTGCGACCTTCTGCAGCCCCAAAGTTTGTATTATGCATCGCACAGTGTCTATAGTAGTTCTTAGCTCACCAAAAGTACACGAGAAAGATGAAGAAGCACATTACACATTGTTGCGTGTTGTTCACTCCACGCGTTCTTGCCTTCCTTTCCTTCAGTCTCAGCCAATGCTCAAGTTCCAGACAGACTTGGATGAAGTGACGGGCGACAAGGTTCTCACATGCTTTCTGCTGCCACAGCAGGATGACCATACGGAAAGCATGGGTGAGGATTGTGCACATTCCATAGCATACTTGTGTGGCTCGTCTTTGCATGTCCTCGTGTGTTAAATTGAAGTCGGAACTGTCAGCCTTGTGTGCCGCTTTTCATTTTGAGCTGGTTGTCGCGGCACAAGTTTATGCGTGAGTTTGGCGTGCACTTCTAACCTTGGCTTGTAACCTTTTGCTCCATGTTATTAACAGTGACGTGTAAGTACTCCATGATTGTTTGTGCATTGTCACATTGGGTAAGTATTTATTGTGTATTTTATATTAACTCAGAAAGTGTAATAATATGAAACTGATTCTCGGTAAACGCTGTCATATTTGTTGCTGCATTTACTGTTTCTGTAAAAACCCCTTGTAACTTATATTTTACGCTGTTGATGTCCATGTCATACTTATCAAGCAGCACGCTCATTCTTGCTGAGGAAATGAAGAAAATGAAGTCTTTTTATCAAAAGGTTTTATTTCAAGTTTTGTGTACACACATTAAGGTGATGTTTCAGCCTTGTTCTCCGTTACTTATTTTGCTGATGCTCGAGTTTTAGTTATATGCTTTGTCTTACACAAGGGCTTCCTTACTACACATTGTACATTTGTATCTCGAATCTGACTTGAAGCAGTTAAAAGTGTGTACTGATATTCACATCGAGTGTGCTATATATTTATTTATGCTTGGCTAGAAGGCAAGAAAACCCACTTTATTTACATATCTTATATGTATTCACGGAAAAGTTTCTGTCAGCTTCACATTGTCATACAAGACATAATGCAAAGAGCTTGCACCATGATAAAGTGTTCCCTGTAATTCTCAGCTGCCTGTGAGGTTTTGGGTTAAGTTACACACTTTGTGACATAATTAACAAAATAAATAAAAACAGGATTCCTATTCATTTATTTATTTATTTCAGAAAATTTGCTGCGAGACAGTACAGAACAGGACAGTCGGCTGAGTTGGGACCAAAAGGCTGAGAATCGTGCTTCAGCTGTCAAGTTTGTTGAAGAGGCTGTTGAGGATAAATTGGACAAGGAACTTGAGGTGAGGCCACATTTCCTTTACGTAATCATTATGGTGCTTGGCTAGTCTTTTATGAAAGTAAATTGCACAGCTCGGACCAGCAAACAGTTGCGGTTTCATGATCCTGTCAGTCGTTATTATTCCGCCATGTTACGCTCTGTGTAAATTTTTTTCCGATACGTCTTTAATCCTGCCAAGTATAACAAGCCCTTACTTTTTTATTCTTTTGTTCTCAGACTCAATTTGTTCGTCATGACACTCCTCATCCAAGGGAACTGAAGGCGCGGCACCAGAAGTTTGTGCAGAAGACCAAAAACATCGATGGTCACGTGATGTCGCATTCGGATGAGGTGAGTAAGACCTTGACCTTCAGTACCTCCATTGTCCAACATCTATGACTTCAGTGTTTCCATGGATAATCCATGTAAAGGAATTCGGTTTGCACCAGTGCATCGTAGTATCAGTTGTGCGATTTCATTCTTGCTTGGGACTGAAATGCCAAATCATGATGTAGAGAAGACTGATTTTAGTATTAAACTTACATAGCAGATAGGCGTCCAGCCTTATCTTTCACTTTTAGCGTTTTAATTCGTTGTCTTGCTTTTTAATTGACTGCTCTCCAAGTTTAACGATGTGCTGGGCACCCATTGTCCTGTTTATACTTGCCCAGGATGGTGAAGTTGGTGTGTACAGACCACATCGAGCCAGCACTGGGTCCATGCAATCAGCATCATCTATCGAGACAGCACCTTGCCAGTCACGAGGTACTTTTTATGATTTTTTAAAAATCAATTTCGTCATGTGTTTGTAATCTTTGTGGTTTTAAATGATTTGCTCTCTCTTTTATTACATCACATTAGAGGTTCTTAGCAAGCTACGGAAACATGTTACGGAAAGGCGGCAACACGGAACCGGCTAACGAGTGCGCATGCGTGACCATTGTACGCGATTAACGGAAAGGAACCGTGTCATATTTCCGTAACTTGTTTCCGTAGCTTGCTAAAAACCTCGATTGACATGAGTTAAACTGCCTCTGGTGTGCATTATAGCATAAGTTTCATCACTGGTTAATAAAATAAGCATTGCATTTTTTATGAAACAAACCTAATGCTCTAAATGTCGCCTTGCATTCGACTGAGGCAATACTCAGTTTCGAATGTGATGTGTTCAGATATTTGACTCGAGATTTCCTGACTAGAACAAATGAGTAAAATGCCTTGAAATGATAGCTAACTCACCATTTCATGCTTATGCACTATTGAATGGTTCATGCATCATACTTTTTTTTAGGTGTCAACAGTTGCTTGCATGTACAAGTATCATCATGTTATCTTTCAGACCCAGCCACATTTACTGTTCACCAAGCTAAATTGGTTAATTTATTTGCAGCATAGACAGAACTATAAGTGTTATTCCTCCTTCTGCTGTGTCACCCCGCTGCGGTGGTCTAGTGGCTAAGGTACTCGGCTGCTGACCCGCAGGTCGCGGGATCGAATCCCGGCTGCGGCGGCTGCATTTACGATGGAGGCAGAAATGCTGTAGGCCTGTGTGCTCAGATTTGGGTGCACGTTTAGAAGCCCAGGTGGTTGAAATTTCGGGAGCCCTTCTCTACGGCATCTCTCATAATCATATCGTGGTTTTGGGACGTTAAACCCCACATATCGATCAATCCTTCTGCTGTATCCGTGTGGCTCATGCAATTGGGGGTGAAGTGCAACGTGCTGACTCTGTTTACCTGATTCCCTCGGAGCAGAAGGTGAGCCTGCTGGCCGACCTAACAGTGCAAGCGACCAGGAGCCCGACGGACGGCCCGTATCTGTTTCCGAGGAGGAAGCTCGGCACATGGCGCGGGTTGCGCACAACGGAATGGCCCCAACAGCTCAGCAGGCCAGTGGCAGCCCAGAGTCCTCGGGAGACGAGGATGACAAAAGGGTGAGTCGTGTGACTCGAAGGATGCAAGCTTGTGTAACGTGCCAATTTATTAACAAGGCACTAATGTGAAACAATGAATCAGTTTAAACTGGTAAATTAGTCTTCAGCGACTTTGATGATGTTGAGTTTGTCGTAGTATGTTCATTGTCAGAAGGGGAGATGAAGCATAAAGTTTCGGTTTTCGAATTTTGTTTTGAGACATCAGCACCCGAGTGTCAGTTAAGTTACAAAGTCCTTTGGTCGTGCTTTTTTGGCCACGTAAACTTGGTGAGATTCTTTGGCACTTCCCATGGTAAATATCTGCCTCCCCTCGAATACAGTGCTGTTAATTTTTACTAATGAAGGATTGTGTAGTGGCTGGCAGGTGCCTAGAAAGAGCACCAGGTGACATTGCGAATTTTAGTTAGACACTGGAAGTTCTTGCGCACCTAATGAACATTATGCCACAAGAATTTTTTTAATTGGTCCATTAAAAGCTGACAAAACCCTTGTTTTGAAGCAGTGCCAAGCCATGATGCGAGGAGGTGAGCTTGAAACCCTTGCTGCTTGCCCTTTGTAGCCTTTGCAAGCCAAATCTATTCTCTACCCGCTTCGACATGTGATCAAGACGATCACATGACGCATACCCATGGACACGTCATCCGCACTCTAGGTCACAAATGCACGACGTGCCTGCACCATCCTGTGCTCCCAAAATGCAAGCGATGTTGTGACGGCGATCTCTGCGCTTCATCTTTGCAAGCTATGCCGAGTACGGCCTCGGCTCCCACTTGGCTGTCAACCTATTACGGAACGTGCAAACTGCAGCACTTGTATCGGCCAGTGTGCCTCAGCCTAATTGGCGCTGGAATGCATTAAATTAGTTCTGTTGTGAGGGGTTGCATCGGCACAATGTGCAAAGCACAAGAGTACAAACACATGCGAAATGAAGGCAGACTAATCTTGCATGTCACTATGATTCACAATAAGATTAAAGACACCCAAATTCGGTTTGTGTGTTTTATTATTGGTCTCAATTTATATTCATCTGCTCAAGCAACACATTGCACGAACTGCACATGTCGCGTCAAATGGCCATCACAGTGCACCATTCTGTGGTGGGCAACGCGACGGAGCACAGGTGTCTATGTAGAGGAGCTACATCAAAGCACTACCCACTATGTAGGGCCATTCCTTCTCATATCTCATCACCCCATTCTTTAAGCTCGTAGCATGGCAAATTTTGGCAGACTTGATTGGGAACGCTTTGTGTATGTGTTGTGTTCGTCAGTTAAAAAGGATCAGACCTGGTGAGGGGCCCTTTAAAATCTGTCATGGTGATGCGATACAGGAACATGAAGGAACCAGTGCTACGATCTTGTTTTGCAAATTAATTGGTCTATAATGCATCTTCTCATGGCAAGCGTGGCGTTTGTCGTATTATGGGAAGGGTGATTTATAAATGCTCACATTAAGACGAGTGCATTACCATCTAAGGTAATTGTAATAACAGTTGTACTTTGTGAAAAGAGCATTGGATGTAAAAGTGTGTGTGGTCGTTTCATGCAGGAAGCGGACCGCCGTGTGGCATTTACACATGATGGGCCTGAAGAACCGGCAGACCGACAGAATAGACTTCATCGGCGAGACACTCCTCACCACCTAAAAAACAAAAGAATACATGTTGGCAGTACTCGGGAGGACCAGGAGAAGGTGAGTGCTTTATATATTTCAACGCCACATTTTGTTCTCTTCTGCACGTATACTCCGAATTAGTGCGAAACTAAGATGGTGCAGGTTTAACCAGTTCGTAGGAATTGCATTTAGCATGAGAAATTGTGTATGACATGTTTGCGTGTGAAAATTTTTTGCAGGTTACTTGCATTTTAAGGTAAAGCTTTCTTTGCGAACTTCTCCAGAGCTGTAATCCTCTAGGCGGTGTAATCAAGATTGGCCTATTCTCATGGCCGGTGTTATTAAAGATGGTGGTGCAGTGATCTAGTATAGATACATGAGGGCACGATATTTGTTTTCAAAAGGGTTTAAATGTGCAGATAATGGAGCCAGTGTTGACCGATTGAGATATAAAACATCATCACACTACAGTCACGCAGGTGGAGCATTTGCTCCTGTCAATGCACCCACTATTCAAGGCTTCACATGATTCATGCTGGCATATTGCCCATATCGACAAGGCATACGAGACACCATCACCCCGGAACCCTAACACCTTATTTTGCACAGACAGATGTATTTAAATTTTCTTTTTTTCCACGAACAGTGGAAGAATGGAACCTTCTAAACTCTGTATAAAGATTCACTTTGGTTGATTTACTGTGTGTAAACTGTGTGTTGGGTGTGTAAACCTGTATTTGTATGTTGAATTCTTTTCTTTTTCCTTTTCTATGTGACTTGAGTGCCTAACATGTACTTACTACTTGTATTGTGCCCACCTGCTTGGACCTGTGAAGGTCTGCAGTATGCATTAAATAAATAAAAAAAATAAAATATTGCAACAACTTTAGTGTGTTCATACATTATCGAGGGTCTTGATTTACGTGATATATAGTATTTTGCAGTAGCATTAGCATCCACATCTAAGAAGCTTGACACTCGTGAATCATCACTGAGCACGAGAACTACATGGCAATCATCACTATGACTAGTGGTTTAACATGCTTTCTTTGTCAATTGTAACTTGTGTACTTAAATTTAGAGGCACATAAAAGAACTTATGGAATGATAAAATAATTCATAAGTGTATTATTAGTTTATGGTTTGAAATCTGCGAGAGTGTTATTGGTAAAAGCGACCTATCATCAATATGAGTGGATGACACTTTAATATGTGTCATCAAAATGAAAATTGTGAAACTTCCACATGTTGTTCAATTCTATTTTGTCATGTGCTGCTGTAGGCAAAATGTATATATGTATTCATATTTCTTTTTCTAGGTGGCATCTATATTGATGCAAGCTCTTCATCGACCAGAAGGCGAAGAACCATTGCCTCCACCGCCTCCTTCTCCACCGCGAGAGCGCCACGCAGTTGATTCTGAATCGGAGCTGGACGGGGCAAACACATCATTTGGAGAAAGTAAGGGCTACATGCAAGCGTCTTGCAGTCCTTGTGGATCTGCGTGAAGCTCATAGGGGATGAGCACTAACTGGACAGTTCACGTTTCCATTACATGACTGGTATTTAGAAAGAGACCTAGTGAGTGATGTGGTGGCATTGACATTTGAAGTTGCACGCACTTGAAGAAAGCTGAGGAAAGCAATTCCACTGGATGCCTAGATCTAGTGCAGTGAGCCCTTAGATGTCAATGTAGCACAGTAAGACTTTCAGGCGAGTTACCTAATTGTGTTTCTTTATTTTTATTATGCAGCATTGTAATTACTAATTACTGTTTTTTATCTGAAATGTGCCCTTGTGATGTGCATTTTGTGGTCAAATTTAACCATATAAAGTTACGCTGTGTGTAAAATTATGCCCTTTGGCAGGTAAGTATATGTGAATGTGTCATTACAGCACAAATTGCTACTATGTTGCACGTATTCTTACAAGAGCTTCTGGTCATTCAAACAATATACAAGGCTCCCCTCGAGTTTGAATTGTCAAGAGCTTACTGTCCCAGAAATGCAAGCTATAGGCACAGTTCTAACTTATTTTATACAGTCGATCCCGGATATATCGATTTGGATATATCGAATTATTGGCTTTATCTAAAAATTAAGAAATCCCTTTGAATTTCTTATGCAAAAGTATGGTATCTATGCACCCGTATATTGAACTCCCGCACAGTGGGACATCCGCTTTATCGAATACTGCGCTGCGCAGAAGCCCAGAAAGTGCATGTTTTGTAGCAAGTATAGATTCATTTTTGGCCGCGTTCTAACAAGTTATGATCTCTTTGTGTGAGCAGTTGACGAAAAAATGGTATTGTTCCTTGCACGGCGCTGGTGATTGCACCAGTAAGTTTGACACGCAATCAGCATAGGGTTTTTCAAAAAAACTGATTACCAAGGACACCAAAATCAGAATGTGAAGTGTCTTGGCGACCTCGTTGCAATGTTCACATTCCCTTTCTTGTTTGTTTAACGCACATTGGCACACGAGCCTGAAAAGTATGGCCTTCGAGATGTGCGACCTTGTGACGTTTTTTGGTGTTTTCGGTTTTAAAACGCACATCTCGGAGGCTACGCTTTCTCTAGATTCTTGCATCAAAGCAGCTGAAAGCAGCGGCTGCTAGCTAAAAAGGCACAATTGACATTGATAGTGGGGACACGAAGTTGTCTTTTTCACCTTCTGGACTTGCATACTTCTCGCCTTGTTCCTGATAAATTCTCATTTGGGAGTTGAACTGAATGTTGACCCTTACGCAGTGATAAAAATCATGACTGTTGCTTAAAGTGATGTCAAGTAAAGTACTGCCTTAAACTTTCCTCACGAGCCCGGTGGCGACTTCGGGTGTGTCATGACCACTGGCATACGGTGCCTCGGTGAATTCTGCGGCACGTTTTCGGGCACCATCTCTGACAGTGCGCGACTTATCAGTGCATATGACGATGTAGCTGTTTCTGGCTGCATCGATTGTGAGATCATGGCTGCCGTGTCCGGTGCTGCGGAAGTGTACCCGTGCAGTTATGAATATGCCATTGCTGTCGCCGCTAACCAACCTTTTGCCGCGCTACAAAGCTTGCCTTGGCCATCTGCATCAGACAATGCTGTTGTGGCGGAAGGAGCTCAATTAGCTTATTTGAAAAGCTTCAGTGATATTGAAGATGACTGGATTTTGATGGTGCTCAAGAAGCAAGACAAGCTTACGGACTATTTTTGTGCGAAACAAAGAGCGGTAACTTGGATTTCACACCTTGTTCTTCCTGAAAATGCTTTAATTCAGGCCCTAAATATGCATATTTTCTATTTCGAATTATCGATATATCTGACTATTTCGTTGACCCCCTTCGAGTTTGATATATCCGGATCGGCTGCAATTCTCATGAAATGTAATTCTTATCTGTCGTGATGTTTGCTGTCTGAATTTATGTAGGCATTGCCCCTGCTACAGTTGTCGAGGAGCACATGAGGATATACGTGGAAAGGAATGCTTCGGGTCTTGGCCTCAGCGTGGCTGGCGGGAAAAATTCAACACCATTCAAAGGGGAGGATGAGGTTTGTGTTGTGACAAATTTCTGTCTTCTTTCAAAACCACCTTTTTTTGATGCATAATCTTAAAGTGTTCTCTTGCGTTTTCAGGGTATATTTATTTCTAAGATAACCGAGGGTGGACCAGCAGAACAGGCGGGGCTGAAAGTTGGCGACAAGATTCTCTCTGTAAGCAATCAGACTTATGCAGTGTATGGCAGTGTCTTTCATAACAGAACTTGTCACAGCTGAACGCAGGAGCTTTAGCTAATATATGCGCGAGTCTTGGCAGATATAGGTCATGCTCACTTTGCAGGTTTTAAGTTATGTAAAGGTTAGTCTTTACATGAAAGAAATTCTTGAAATTTTTATGAATATTTTCTCCAGTGAACATTTACATTGCAGATGTCTTTACTGATACATTATGCAATAGAATATATGGTGCTGTGTTGCGGCTACCAAGCTTCTTGTGTTACCGGTGTGGGAAAACAATTATTTGTGAATTAGATAGGATAATGTGTGAACTCTAAGTTCAGTCTGAATAATGATGTGTACTGCATCTTTGGCATTAATGTGGAGTAATATGGATGTGTACCGTAAGTCATGGATGACCCAGGTGGTTTACTCGTGTGTGCAGCGTAGCTTGTGATAAGTCTTTGGCACATTGCTTTTCATTTTAGGACTGGTGTTGGTTTAATACTCCTGTCATATTTTTGTGCACGTAGGTGAACAATGCATCTGTGGTGGACATTGACCACTACGAGGCTGTGAATACACTGAAGGCGGCAGGCAACAAGATCTCTCTGCTTATAGCACGAGAAGTTCAGCGGCCCACATCATCTTTGGCGGTAAGAGACGTTTCCTCTGGTTCATGCTTCTAACATTTCTAGAATAAACAAGATAAGAAAGCAATAAACAACTCAATTATTGGATCAAGCTTGATTGAGGACATTGTATGTGGCAAGTTTAGTCTTTTTGAAGCATCGATGGCTGCGTCATGAAAATTCTACTGGGTTTAATGTTTCTATGAAAATTGGGTGGTTGTGCTTCTAAAGAGTATGTCTAAAGAGTATGTCTGCGACACCTTAGTTTATTTTTTTCCCTTATTATTAGCTTGATTATAAAACTACTACGTGAAGTGTCCAGCAAAAAAAAAAAAAAAAAGGCTGCCGGAGACAAATTGAATTCAGTCAGAAATTCTTGCAACTGTAATTCATCAAAAAAAAAAAAAATGATTTGAAGAGGAGCAGGAAAGTTATCTTCAAACTGTACTACTGCACATATGTTAAGTCCAGTTTCGGGGTCTTCATAAAAATTATGCACCAAATTCTGCTTGCTGGAAATGAATGGGAAGTAGCAGAAATACTCGGAAAACTAGTCAGCTACAGGCAAAAAATAAATACAAGCTCTGCCCACAAAACCATGGCGCACTCTACTCTGTTTCATGAGTTCCGTGCAACACTGTGAAAGCTGCAGTCTTTCTTGACCAATCAAGAGGATGAGCACATCTAAATGTAACCTTCCGTGCTCTGCCGTCTGCTAATCGTTTGCAAGTGGTCAGCGCTGCTTGTGGTGATTTTGCGCACCGTCGTAATTTTCTTCTTTTAGAAGAAATTGTGCACGACTCTATGCAAAGCACCGAGGTCGAAGTCGTTCAGCAGCTTTTCTTGATCGCTGCCATCCCGCCGCGGTGGTCTAGAGGCTAACGTACTTGGCTGCTGAGCCGCAGGTCGCGGGATCGATTCCACGGCTGTGGCGGCTGCATGTCCGATGAAGGCGGAAATGTTGTAGGTGTGTGCTCAGATTTGGGTGCACGTTTTAAAGAACCCCAGGTGTTCGAAAGTTCCAGAGCCCTCCACTACGCAGTCTCTCATAATCATAGCGTGGTTTTGGGACGTTAAACCCCACAAATCAATCAATTGATCGCTGTCCTTGTCACTGCGAAAATGCGTCTTGGGCATCGCCAAGCCGCATCGTCTGTTTTTGGCTCTCTGCGTCGCCTGCGTCTGCTATAGGACTTTGGAGCTTCTTGCTTCCTGTTCTGCGTTTGTCGCGCTATAAGTGCGAATGTCATCAGCGTTGCTGCCAGGCATGGTTCCAGCAGTCAATAAGATGTCTTACCCCCCGTATTCACAAACTTAACTTACTCTTATCTTTATGACTTAAGTCAACCTTAGCCATACAGTAAGTACTCCCTTAACGCGTTTCAAGCAGCTACCTTATACTTACCGCGGAACTTTCTTTGTACTTAAGTACAGTTCGGTTAAGGTAGCCTATGACTTTCCATAAACAACATAGCAGAGGAAGGCAACTTTGCGTATTCATTTTATTATGTGCTCCGCAAAGAGGAACATATCTAACGGCACGGCGTACGCATACACGTCAACGCTGCGGCGGGTCCTCAACGATTGACGGAGCCTAGTTGAGACCTACGACAAGCAGGAATTTTTGTGCTGTGCCTGCTTCACAAAACGTGCCGTTAAAAATCTGCTTGCTGTGCTGTTTCTGCAGGAAAATATCCATGGTCGTGGGTTTGTTGTGCCCAATCACATGCAGCTGCTCATCCCATTGCGCTTTTATGGAGTTGGCACATTCCAACTTGAAAGCTATGGTCTTGTCACTGTCTTGTAGCCGACCGTATCACGAGTATACAGCCGAGCGGATAGCTGCTATGATTGCAAAAAACACTTTTTCTTCGTACAGGTAAAACTTCCCGAAGTGGCGCAAGAACCTTTCTAGTTGTTTGATCGGCCGTTCACATATGCGCAGGGTGTCGATTGTTGAATTGTATCACGAGCTGCTTCCACGTTTTCAATTTTCTCTGAAGGCACACGGCGTCCGTTTTGGTACTTGTTCACGAAATCCGTCTGGACGTAGCCACTTCGTCGGTGAAGTTCACTTCGATGCACCGTTCCACAATAAATGCTACTTCGTAAAAAATGCTGTGAAACTGCTCGAACTATCAAATAAATTTAGTGAAATTGAAGAAACAAAGTGAAAGAAAACAGCAAGCACTAGAGGGAGCTTGATAACACCACTGAACACACAAAAACATACAAGACGTCGAAATAACAATGAAGACCTGCGTCGACGGAAGTTGCAGAAAAGTGGCCAGATGAAAAACGTTTATTTCACTGAAAGTTGATGAAAAACGTTTATTTCACTGAAAGCTGCCAGTGCCTAAACAAACATTGCTACTCTTTACGCTTGGAATGCGTTGCCAGGCATTGTAGTAAATGCAACCGATCTTTGCCAATTCGAAAAATTGTTGGGCATGTATTTGAGTGATGGAGCTGTCAGATGATAAGCCTGCATGTTTTCTTCCTCCCAGCTGTGTTTAAGCATTGTAATGCGTAGCCAGGCATTACTGTAAATGCAGGCAGTGTTTGTCTATTTGAAAAGTGTTACACATGTATTAATTGATTGCATTACTACTGGACATAGATGTATATTGGTTGGTTTGTATTTGGTTGTACCCCCCCTGTAAGAGCCCTTGAGAGGGCTGACAGAATTATGAAATAAAATAAAATAAATATGTGGGTTTGATATAACCGTGTTAGACAGTATAGTCAATCGCTGATGTAAGAGTTGTGCAAACTGGTTTTCCTTTTGAACCTTAAGTATTATTTCTGTGTTATTGTGAATACCATGTTTACTGAAAACTAGAGGGTCATCGTTTGTACCTGTAATATGACCTTTAACTGAAAATGATGTTAGCTACGACGAAATTGGCCAGGGTGTTCAACTTGAAACCAGCAACACGCATGTGCATCAAGCTTGTGAGACGTGCTTGATTTCATGGAAATGAGCAAATGTGATTGGACGAAGCATCTAGGAAAATTCCCTCTAGTGGGACAGTAGTGGCAGTGGGTAGAGCCTGTATTTATTCTTAGGTTGCAACTGACTCTTTATGTACTTACGAGCTCGGCTTGATTTGCGTCCCATGCTTCCCACTTTTCACTTTCATCTGCCACCAGAGGGAGCCAGTGACAGCGGCAGCAGTAGCACAGTCTAAGGTACCACTGCAGCCGGTGCACTCGGAGCCTCTTCGTCCTTTGGAGGAAGAGCCCCTTTCCTTACCAAAGACATCACCCATATCTGTGCCTCACCAGAGGGTGCGACTCCCACCGGCAAGTGGAGGACCTCAGAACCTGCTGGCTCCCTTGCCAACGGGAGATGGTGACATGCGCTCACTCCCAACGACACCAGAACCGCGAACGCCTGAACCAGACTTTGAGACCAAACGAGAGGTAGGGTTGATTCCCAAGTAGTGTTCCAGGCGTCACGTCATGAGTGTGTCTTGTTGTAGGCTAATTGAAAGATCACCTTTTGGGGGGAAGAGAAGTTGAAGGAACAGAAAGTTAAGGTAAAGTAACACTGCTGAAGGTTTGGGCAATGCAAACGTACAAGCGGAGAAAAGGAAAATGGTTGCTGCTAAGTGCCTAATGGCCGCGGGTTGTGATAAGTCTGAATTTTAAGAGTAGCCCACCCGCACTTCTTACGAAAATGTGGCTCCCAATAAAAGAGTGAATGTCATATGCCCAAGTGCCACCACACAGCAAAGATACTGCCTGCATTGTGATCATATTGTGGCATGTGCTAAAACTAGCGCTGCTCCTCATCACTGTCAGACTTGTGCAACAGTGGCTTTTTGGGTGGCAGATTAGAAAAAGAAATCGTAGCACGCCACGAATTTGCCTGTGAGGCACTGTTTCTATTGCTCTTTGAATGTTTACCACATTCACGCTGTGCTGTAACACCTGGTGTAGGACAAGTGGAAAACATGCATTCTGTGCTCTTTTTGCAGATCATCTATACCACGTTGATTAGGGACCACAATGGCTTGGGCTTCAGCATAGCTGGAGGAAAAGGAGGCACACCGTACAAAGATGGAAGCCAAGTGAGTCTCCAACTTCCTTGAGTCCGTCAAAGGATTGGATGGCTCTCTGCTACGAGGAGTCAGTTTGGTTTCAATCGTCGAAACACATGATTGTAAAACGGCATGCTGCGTGCAGTGCTTACCCATCTGCTTGGTTTCCTTTGAGTCTTCATTCTATTTGCACAGCTTCTTTAATGATTAATGCACATTTTATATTGTTGCCTTTCAATGCATGATGGCAAAAGCTTCCTTTGGTGTGATGACTGCTGGAACATCAACAGATATCCAACTTAAATTACCATATTACCATAAAAAAGCACCGTGGGCAGAAAGGAAATGGGTAAATGCAGAGTGGAGTGATAGAAGCAGATGGAGATAGGCCATGAATAACAACCGTGGTTTGTCGAAAGCAACTGTAGTTGCTAATGAAACTTCTTTTTTTAGTAAACCAAAGGTGTCGGTAGTGTTTCCCCACCTGCTTCCTTTCCTTTTGTGTGCATATTTTGTCACGCAGTCTCCTTAAAAATGAATGTGTACAAACTTGTCTAGCTTGCAGTACTTCGAATCATGATGAGAAATGGAGCAAAATGCGGACTTGTCATGGTTAATCAGGGGACCTTATAAGCTGCATGCTTGGTGCTCCTCCTCACTTTGATTTGTTGTCTTAGTACATATTGTTTGATCTGTGCAATGCATTAAAAGTACATTTCGACAGCCAATGGCAGTGCAGTTGATCCGCTTCATGAAAGACATGCACCGGGGAGCAATTCCTCTCTTTTATATATAAGAGGTGTCTCGTATGAGCAGGGTACCACGTATGCATTTTCTTATTAACCCTTATTTTAATACAGGTGCCCTGGTGTCTCTTGTTTGTCTGTTACATCGGCATCTTTTACCAAGGCATTCGACTGTATTTTGAAGCAGACTTAAATGACCCAACAGCTCAGCATTTAATTTATTTATTCATAATAAGTATCTCAAGGATACTGTAAACATGGTCTCTCATTAGGGTGGGTGAAAAAAACTAGTTGAAGTTGAGAAAAGATGACTCTACAGGAGCTCTGAAGTGAACAGGGCTAACGTGAAGGGCGACATTTGAGTGAAGTTGAATGAAAGAATGATACCAAATTCTATTTAAAACACATTATATACTACATATACTCAGTCAATTTTGCACATTTCACGTGGAATGACAGATGTTGCTTACACTCAAACTCTCACTCACCTGTAGGGCATCTTCATATCACGGATAGCAGAGGGTGGAGCCGCAGCGCGTGACGGCAAGCTGCGTGTTGGGGATCGTGTTCTGTCCATCAACGGCATCGACATGGACGGAGTGCGGCACGATCAGGCCGTGGCCATGCTTACGGGACTCGAACGCTTTGTGCGACTGGTTGTGCAAAGAGAGGAACTAGTGCTGAGGGACCCCAATGCCAGACCCCAGCAGCAGCCATCGCTTCCCACTGTCACGACCCTGACGACGTCTGCGACGACAACCACCAGGCCCTACGGGGGAAGTCTGTACTCTTCCTCGTCGTACATGGCCAACCGGCCGTCGTATCTGGGTGGATACAAGAGGCCGGGTCCCATCGGCAGTGTCGGAGGTGCTGTTGAGGAGGCAGCTGCTGGTGACAAGCAACCTGCAGGCACAAAGGTAAGCATAGGGCGAGAACTCAATTAGAGTGACCGCGAAATGAGAGATGAGAGAAAGACAGACTATCATATTGCTTTTTTGGAACATCTGCAGAATGTCCTCCTCCTCCTCTTTTTTTGTACCATGTTTTTCAGTTTCACCAGTTAAATTTGCGTTAGCTATGAGTCTTAAGTGTGTAGCAGAATTCAGCATCAAAGTATGAATTATGTTGAGGGGAGATGTGGCTTTGGAAAACCTACCGTATTTACTCGCATAATCCTCGCACTTTTTTTGGCGGAAAACCGATGCAAAGTTGGGGGGTGCGAGAAACCTACAGTGCAAAAAAGAAAACGAAGTGGCTGCAAATCAGGATTCTCACACCAGCAACTAACAGCAAGCTTTGAGAAGTACTAATTAACACTTACCTCAACATTAAAAGCACTGGTTCAACACAAGGCAAAATTTATTTGAGACACAAAAAGTGCAAGCAAATAGTCGAGAATTAGAATACCATATGCAAAGCTTGTGGGTGTTCCGGCCGTAGCGGTAGCATTCATCGCGCAGCAGGAGCCCTCAAAAGATAAGCGTAGGACGTCAGTATTGGGCTGATGGCTATTTAATAGAATCGTCCGCAGTTTCCTTCTGAAGAAATAAAGTTTATGATCAATCCCAGTTTTAGGCACAAGGCAGGCCCAACGCGTCTTGGTGGCTTTCAGCTGCCGTCACCAGTAGCGAACACAAAACTTGTTGACTCCGAAGGGTCTACCGGCGGCCCCGTTGTCGTTGTTCAGTGCGTGATCTATCACTTTCAACTTTAAAGCAGCCGTGTAGCTTCAGTATCGCCCCATAACGTGACAAGATTACCAAAGCAACATACAAAACACTCCCCAATGCGCGCTTGCCACTTTGGCTTCGCTTGGATTAGATTGAATCTTCGTGCAGTATTAGTACGCTTGATTCTTAAGAGATGGCGTCAGATGACGCGTGCTATTATCAGAGGCTGAAACGAGCAGACGACATTATTGCGGCAGTTTTTGGGGGCGCGATAATTACTCGAAGAAAAAAAGCCGTCGTACTTTTGTTGGGCGATGTGAGGGGTGCGAGAATTATGCGAGTGCAAGGATTAAGCGAGTAAATTTGGTACTTTCTCAAAACTTGGCAGATCTTGATGGAAATTGGCACAAATATTCAGCATGTCTTTCTAATGCTTCCACAAAAGTTTCAGAGAAGTATCTTGAGAACTTTTTATTTTATAAAATTTTTACTATTTGCAGTTCTTAGCACTTTGCACAGTGCCTGGAAAGTTTAAAAAATGCACTAGAAGGCTAAAAGAATATTTGCTGTAGACCTGAATGCACGCTGAGTGTCATGACTTGCCTGCTTTAATTTTTTTTCCTACACAAAATTCTTGTACAGTCCTCGACCGTTTATTCGGACTCGACGGGAACCGCCGAGAAGTCCGAATAATCGGGAGTCCGAAAAAATGGATTCACTCGAAAAAAAGCACTTTTATTGGCCCGATCGCCCGAAAAAACTGTCTATTCGCGTCTGCACACACGCACGCTTACGCGCGACCACGTCGGCCTGTACCTCTGCGAGTGTCTGGCCGTCGCTGTAGACAGACAACAGCATCGATATGGCCTGCGCTAAGTCCGCATTTGATGGCTGTGGTGCGGGCGGCGCGTCATCGTCGGAGTCGCTGTCCGCCAGCGCCGGCTCGCAGACCTGACGGACGATCTCGTCATCGTCCAACTCTGCGCAAGGCAAAACGGCACTGTCGAAGTTGGCGAACTTTTCAAGCGTACCCGCCCCCACATCGACCCCGCTAGCACGAAGGTCGTCCAAAATGTCCGCTGCTGCGGTAGGCGGACTCTCAACCGCGGGGTTCTGGCCTGTGGCACTGTCCTCCTCAATCCCAGTAATAAATCCTGCGTGGCGGAAGCAGTTGTGGATCGTTTCCTGAGTCACTGACTTCCAGGCATCGGACAACATGCTGATGGCCGTCAGAACATCCACGACGTAGTTTTTGTTACTGTCGACGCATAACAGTACACGATTCAGGAGGCGCGACCGGTAATGAACTTTCAAGTTTTTGATCACGCCCTGGTCCATGGGCTGCAACACGCTTGTCGTGTTAGGCGGCAAAAACTCCACTGTCATAGCCTTCAAGTTGTCGATATGCCCATGGGCACCGCAGTTGTCGACGAACATCAGCACCTTGCGATTTTGCTGTTCGTACCGGCGGTCGAGCTTGCGAAGGTACTGTTCGAAGAGGTTTTGCGTAATCCACGCCTTCGAATTTGCTTCATACCACACAGGGAGTGATTTGACGCCTTTAAAACATCTTGGATTTTTTTATTTCCCTATCACTAGGAGCGGAAGTTTCTCCATCCCCGTCATGTTGCCTCCTACAACAACTGTCAGTCGCTCCTTGCTATGCTTCCCCCCATGACAGGGTTCGCCAGACAAAGCTAGCGTCTTGTCGGGCAGCATCTTATAGAAAAGTCCAGTCTCGTCACAATTAAAGACGTTTTCTGGTGGATACTGGCGCAGCAGTGCGCACAGCTTGTCGGCGCGGTAGTTGGTCACGAGCGTTTGATCGACGGAACCACTCTCGCCGCACATTCGCTTGAAGGCCAGGTCGTACCTTTTCTTAAAGTTGCGCAACCACCCGTCACTGAACTTGCAGCCGGTAATACCCATGCGCAGGGCGAGCGTCTCTGCTTTCTGTCTCAGCAGATCGCCAGACACGGGTATTTTCCTAGCCACCGTGGCACTCAACCACATGTTCAGCGCTTCTTCAAGCTGCGGGTGGCTGCCGTCCCGGAAATTTTTCTGCGTACCCGCAGACACTTTCTCAGCTGCCTCCAGGATCTTAGCCTTCTGCTTGAGGTAGTCCGAGACGGTTTGCTTGGAAATGGAAAATTCCCGAGCAACTTCAGACTGAGGTCGGCCGCCTTCTACCTGGCGAATTATCTCCGCTTTCTTCGCCATCGTGAGCGTCTTGTAGCTCCCACGTTGGCCGCGTTTCTTCACTCCCGACGGCGCAGCAACGGGTGGCGTTGGAGCCATTTCAGCACGCCACGGAACACACAAGAGAGCGAGAACACAGAGAACAAGACGAACCAGGTTTACCCGCAGAAGCAACTGACTGACACCACTGACACGCTGACACAAACGCCAAACCACGCCAAACGCCACAGCGAACAGACTCCGTAAGTGGCTTGGCTTGGCCGCTCGACTGGCTAAAACCGAAAAAAAACGTGTCGCCAAACATAGCCTTCGAGATCGGCAATGGCGATTTCTGCGTGCATTTTGACACTGGCCCGACGTCCATCCATAGCTAGTGCAGCATATAAGTGCTGGCAACCTAGCAAACGTATTGTTAACGTCCCTGTCAGCGTGTCATGGCGTACGGCGACGCATCCGGTCAGTCAAACGGAGTCCGAATAATCGAACGGCGCACAGCGGGGCGTCCGAATTTTCGGTCGTGAGTTTACATTAGGTTCAATGGGGGGCGAGTGGCGGTGCCACGAAGATGTCCGAATAAACGGGCATGTCCGAATTTTCGGCGTCCGAATAAACGGTCGGCGACTGTATTACGATTCTTTTTGCAACCTTCACACTAGGCACACTCTAGGGGTGAACAACTAGTCACATCGTAAAATTGCAGAGTCAAACTAAGAAAAAAGTATGTCACAACATACATTGAAGTCCAAGGAATATGGCAAAAAAAGCAGAGTCATGATAGGCCAAACAGTTACGAAGAAAATGGCTGCGAAATCTCAGCAGGTAGGCAAAAAAACACTTTTGAGAAAACTGCTCGAGAAGTTTTTCCTTGTCTCCAATTATCCAAAATGCACCGGGATCATAGTTCTTGGTGTCCTTTGTGATGCGGGGCTTAGGCATTTGATGATTGCTTTGGTGCGCTTTAGATGCTTTTTTTTCCGTATTTGATCCTTCTCTGCAGCTCTGTGAATGGAGTGCTTTCCAGGTTTCTGGATGAGCGATGCACAAAACTCTCGAGAGCAATGGAGAGTGCCAGAGTTGTACTTGCAGATGGCCTCATTCACAGCTGTTTCGGCGGCAACCAACGAAGCATTTTGTTCTTTAGGAAGAATAAACCAAATTACTGATTGGAGACTCTCGGTTGCGTTTTGGGTTTTTTTGCCTTGGCAACGACTTAGCAACCGAGGGTCAGAAAGGCGTTGGTAGACTGGCAGCAATGCAGCTGCAACATGTGCTGCCAGTTTATACTTGTGCGGTGGTGGAGCCTTGCCATCACCTTCTGCAGCACGGTACTTACACCAGCTCATTGGTCCAGGCGCACACAATTTATGGTGCGGCCCTTCATCTCTCAAGGTGATGTGATGAAACGTCGCCATTATGGCTCTTTGCATGTCATCAACTTCAGTGTTGTCCCGGATGGCCATCTCATAACAATTCGTTAGTCTTCTTATCAGTTCTCGAGTCAGGCGGCCCTTTCCTCCGATAGGTTGATTTTTCTTACTTCTTGCTACACGTGTTCGCAGAGCTGAACCCATCCTCTTTTTTACACGATTTATGCAATTTTCTTTTGCCAACGGAATGAAGCCGTGTCTTCTCTCTTTAGAAAGAGCCGAGAAAGTACGACTGTCACCATCACAAACACTGGATGTGCACCGGAGGTCGTTCTTCTCCAGCGACCTTCTGAACAAAATTAGTGCAGCCTCGACCTCTATTCGGCCTGAATTTACGTTGGTGTTTTTTTGACAAACATGGGCCTCTTTATAATCCTAATAGCCCTCATCATTTTTTTTTGGCCAAAGTGTGGAGCCATGGTATCTGGAGAGAACGACACAGTGAAGCACAAAACCAGTGCAGAACTCGATAACTGAGCCTACACCGATGTGAGATGCATGACCACGTGTCAGGCATGTCCCATCATACACTGCTGGGACATTTTTCGTAAATGTCTGTTCCATTTGGCTGTAAACAGAGCGCACAGCTGTCGCAGAATCTGCAAAAACACTCCCTGCAGCCATTTCACCGGCAGATTTGAACTTTTATTTCAAATGTTTTTGAAAAGTTGTGTGGTGTAGGCCCCTATGCGACACGTTCATTATAGACCGGAAGTCATTTAGACCAGTTGCACCTTTGCCAGTGGTCTTGATGGCTTGCATAGCACACATATTCACATCAAAAGACTTGCCCCCCTCCATTCTTGATGATGACCACTCGCTGGACACAATGCCACAGCTATTGCAGTTCAATATCATTCGTGCTTCCAAACCATGCCTTGTCCCCAAATGAAGTTTGAGTTTACACTGAAAGAATTTTGGCCACAAAACATCCTTATATAAGGCATTTATTACTGCTAGCTGTGCAAGCAAAAGCTCTTCTGCCAGTTCCACATCAGTGCATTGCTCATTCTCCCCAAGAAGCTTTATTTTTCGCTCAGTTGCCGTAACGGATTTCAGCGAAGCTTTCACTGCCTCTGCGTGCTCATGAGAAGCTTGTGGCGATATGTAACGAGGGTCCAAGCGAGCTTGAATTGTACTGGTAGTTACTGACGGCATTTCATCTATGCAAGATGAGCACGGCCGCTGATCGGAAAAGTCGTCGACGAGCACGGCCGCGGGTCCGAGAAGTCGTCGAGCGATGAGCACGGCTGCGGGTCCGAGAAGTCGTCGACCGACGATCGTGGCCACGGGTCTGAGAAATCTTCGAGCGATTAGCACAGCCACGGGTCCGAGAAGTCGTCGAGCGACGAGTACGGCAGCGGGTCCGAGAAGTCGTTGAGCGTCGATTGCGGCAGCGGGTTAGTGAAGTCGTGGACTGGCGATCGCGGCGGCGGGTCCGAAAAGTTGTCGACTGACGATCGCAGCGGCGGGTCCGAAAAGTCGTCGACTGACGATCGCGGCGGCGGGTCCAGAAGTTGTCGACCGAAGAGCATCGAACAAACGGCAGCATGTTAGCAACACATTGAGCAGCAGAGGCAGCACTGGAAGCTGTCGATGCTTTCTTTTTCACGTTTGGAGATTTGCGCTTACAACTTCCAAATTGATGTAATGTTCGGTATTTTCTCTTACACCGTGGCTGATCCATGATCGCTGACAAGACTACGGCGAAACCGTGCCGCCCACGACCAAAATGTGCGCTCAGCGCTTCAATGGCGTGCTTGGTGGCACAAAAAGTAAACAGCGGGAGGCGCGTGTGAGAGGAGAATATGCGCCGTTGCCAAGGGAAACTGTTCAGGAGACCAATGGCGCTCCCGCGTTTGTGTCGCGTGACGCGCAGCCAGTCAGGCTTTAGCGTGGGACCTTTGGGACTGTGCTTTTTATGCGTTTCTTTTCGCCTGCAGACGATGGCTGACAGGGGAAACTTGAAGCCGGAGGAACGCTCTCTCAGACGAGACAAAAATGGTGGCTCTCGGTTACGCCGTAGCCATGTTACCGGGGCTTGAAAAACACGCTTTTTTCACAACTTCCGCGATTTTATGCGCCGCATGTGGGAATTGAGGCTAGCCCGCTGCTTTTGCGCGGGCTTTGCCGCCTTTTCTGCCGTTCTCATGTCCCGACATGTCTCCCCTCCTTCGCTGTCTGCCGCGCTGGGAGAGCGGAGTGACGTTTAACCCCCTCACCCGGTAGCGGATGTTGACTATGGCGCCGCGCGCGAAGTGTCCCCAGAGGGTTTTGCGCGCATGCGTCGGGAGCGGGAGAGAGACCTCTCCGGGGACGACGGGGGTAAGCACGCTTTTCTTTTCCGTCCCTCAGCTCCCTGTGGGCCTCGTTCGGACTTTGCCAACAGCACTTTGCGCCCGTGGCGAATGCTTACCTTATGTCGCCCCCCCTTCCGAACGCTAGGCCAAAGAGTGGTGCGGGTTCCTAGTGGGTGGCCAAACTACGCCGACCCGTATCTCTCCGAAGCCAACGTGAGCGCCTTTGCCCTCGCTCGAGCAACCGGGCCTTGGTCCCGGTGTCTCCGTGGATCACCTTTACTGTGGAGACGTGCTCGTGGCACCCTGTGTAGTACTTTATGCCCGTGGCGTGGATAAGCCTATTTGCTTTCCCGCCACGCCTTTGCAACGGGCTGTACTGCATTTGGTGTTGCTACAGACAATAAGGTGTTGCGACTTTGAGCAGTATTGTGTTCTCGCCATGGCGACGGTTAACGCGTGCCCTGTGGCTCGCTAAGACCGGACCCACGCTGGTGGCCGTACTCCTTCGGGATGCGTGTCACTACACGCATTAGGTGACAAAACAATTTCTTTAAGCACTTCTACGCGGTTTTTGAGAATGATATTTTGGAATCTGAGAGATGACAGGTTACGGAAATTGAAAATCGGATTTTCAAAAAATCGCTTTTTTGGCCATTTTTCGCGATTTGAAAGCCGTGTCCCCCCTTAAGCTTCTGCTGTACATGACTTTGTATCAAATTGATGTAGATTTTCCATCTGTATGTTACAGCCTTTTAAACCCTCTTTTCGGCGACCTCAACAATGTTTTTGTTTGGTCTAGCACACCTAAAGGAACTGAATCAGACCCTGATCCAACAACATGTTCTTTCAATGGGGAGGCAGTCTGTTGAACTAAGTGGTTTCTCTACAACGAGCCTGTTGTTTCACTTCCTATGCAGACAACATACTCCATCTACACCAAGCTGCCAGGGCTGAGGAACGACACCACGACCTTGACGGGGAGTTCAGCACATCCTGGGCTCCCTCACCAGCCATACTCGTTCCCCAGTGCACAGCGAGATCCCCCCTTGCCCGCAGCACATCCTTCGGAGCCAATCTATGCCAACAGTGGGGACCATGGTGGTCTTGGCACCTCATTGTCGTCATTTCGACCAGCTCGTGTCATGCCCCATGGAACAAATGTAAGTGCTGGTTCATGGTGTGGTTTTTTTTATTACAGTGAAAACTGTGCATAGCTACGCAAAATGAAAATCCATTTGCCACAAGAAACGATGATGGTCTCCATTGGCTGCACCATCAGTTATGTTGTTTTTATATCGTGCCCAAGCGCGCGCATGCCATTACCAGTGCCGTCGTTCATCCCTTTGCGGCTGTGCCGCTTAGCTCATGTGCTGCACAGCAGTTTCAAATTACAACTTGCACATTGAGAGGGCGTAGACAACGCCCACATAGAGAGGGCACTGACCATTCGAACGCTGGAACAGCAGGCAACTTCCTAGAACAGCACTGATAGCTAATCCGTGAGAGAATTCGTGTTAGTTGCCCGACGCAGCAGTCTGGGCACAAGAACAGGCCTGGGTAGCAAAGCGCAAGCAGCAATTTCATACCGAGCATCCAGCAGCTTTCCGAGCCAAACCCAAGTGGCAATGGCGAGACGGGGAAGTTGCGTTGCAGGCAGAGCAGTGCAAGGTGGCAATGGTGGGAACGCATTCGCCGAGGTCAACGATCACTTTCAGCGGAAGTTTTTCGAGGAGCACTTTGCCCTTGCCTGCTATCTCTTCAACCACCTGTGGCCACACGCTTCAGCTTCACTGGTTAACCATCTGAACAGAGTGCTTGGGCAGTGTTTTTTGCATAGATAGCCGACGATTTTCCATTATTGACATGAGCAACCCTTCTTTGATGGATGGAGTGTTGTGCGTAATGCCGCGAAAACAGGAATTTAAGTTGGACCGGAATATAGGTCGACTTCTGAACTTTGAATCTCTGAAAAAAAAAAAAAAAATTAAAAATCGCAAAGTATCGCGGCGCACCCTTACCTTGGTAATCTTTGTAACTTCGCTCGTACTGAACATATTCTAAAAATTTTTCTAGTGGCAAATTCATGGGGCATTAAGCTCCGCTATTGAATCCATTCTATGACTAGTTGAAAAAGGGTTGCCTTTAATGGGTCAGCACACTCGTGCATTTCTCCAACACCATTGTTTGTTTTGGCTCTTTGCAGGCCATTGGCAATGGCTTCCCCCCGTCTGCGGGAGGTGTGCAGACGGCCACTTCGAACCTGTCATCTTCACCGTCGTCCCAGCGGTTGAAAGGTCCCCTGGTGACGGTCACGATTCAGCAGCCAGATCCCTACGCGCCTCTGGCCGCTGAGTTTCCCCCAGCACCAAAGACCCTGGGACGCACCACTGAGGTGATCACACGAACGACTTTAACCGAGACGACAACAACGCGGGTCACCAACAATGTCCTGTCACTAACACCTGGTTCAGAAGAGGTGAGGCACTTGCTAGCAGGACTGGCGATGATTGAGGGATCCCCATCACCTGTTTCAGCCTATTTCTTGTTATCTGCCAATCTGCCACTCGCAACTAATTGCTTGTGGCAGTACCGTTGCCAATGATGCTTTGTTAAATGGATAAAACGTGAAGACAAAAATAATGCAAGTGGAGTCATTGTTTTATTGTGACCCTAACTTATATAATGATATGCCATACAGTGAAACCTCGTTAAATCGTATCCTCTTAAGGGGGAAGACTGGTCTTTGGGACCAAAAAGTGACAAAAAAATTCATTTTTTTAAATTGACATATTTGGTTTCTGCAAGTATTTTCCTATCTCTCTGCAAATTTTCACACACGAAGAAGTAGTAATTTTTTTGTAATGGCACTCTAACTGTCCAAATTCTTGGTGCTGTTAACATTCAGAACCTGCAAAAAAAATGCGGAACAGACTTCGAGGCTTCTTTATAATTTGCCAGCACCTGTGCAAGAAGCTCTGCTATAAATTTATAAGCGTATTTATGAGGTTTCAAAACATGCGCACCATGATTGTTGCTTTTTGAAGAAGCCGTGTGTTTTCAGTTTTTTCCATTTTCTCAAAAAGTACATTTTACGACCGTTCAATTTTGAGGCCTCAGTATCTCTGCAAAAGGTGCCGGCTATGCGGTTCGGCGTTTTCGGATGTAGAGGAGGCACTGGTGAAGTGGCTAAAAGCTGCACGGTCAAAAAACCTGCCATCAACGGACCCCTGCTCGTGGAGAAGGCCCTGGTTTTTGCCTCGCAGCTCAGCCATGACAACTTCGTGTGCAGCAATGGCTGGCTGGCCAGATTTAAGGCGAGGCATGGCATTACAGTGCAGTCCACTTATAACGATACCACATATAACGATATATCGGTTATAACGATGGGTCGACTTAACAGTCTCATTTTATGCATTGGGGCTATGGGGAAAAAAACCATATATAACGATATGTTATCCACCGCATATCGGACACAACGATGAAAAGTTTGCCGTGGACGGCATGTTTCATTCAGAATAATCGTAACATTTAGATTGATAAGTTCTTCTGAAACGAACTATGCCGAGACAAGACGAAAAGTTAGCGTAGGCGAGTATGTATCTGCCGCCACTGCAGGACAGCGCCGGCAGCGCGTCCCGGCCGTTCAAAAAGCCGAGGAGAGCATCGCGAGTTGGCGCGACGCGCTACAGATGGCGCTAGCTGTGTCACGTTTTGCGCCTCGCCGCGCGTCGACCGCGGAGAGGCTGGAAGAATTTAAAAAAAAAAAATGCGAAAAGCAAAGCGCCGCGCTCCGCGGCTCCCCGCCTTCTACAACGGCAAGCCGGCAAGCTACTCGTAGCTTGCCAAACGAAAGCGGGAAAGAGAGAGAAAATAAAAAAAGCGAAAAGCAAAGCGGCGCGGCGGCATGGGGGCGGGGCCTCGTTGGCATTCCGGCTGTGTACCTCTGGCTGTGCTTTCTTCCTCCCACTACTCCCACCCCGCCGTCGGTCAGTCTCTCTTCCTCAGCGAACCCGTGATGCGTTCTTCGGAGTAAGAAATAAAGTCTTGTTTTTGACATCCTACTATCTACAATATTTATTAATTGGTGAAAATAGCAAAATGAGCCTGGAGCTACAAAAGGTACGTCTGGCGACGATTTTTTGGCGGCAGTCCAGATACAACGATCACCGGTTATAACGATCATATTTTTAGGTTTTTTCGATATCGTTATAAGTGGACTGCACTGTACCACGTGGACGATTTCGGGAGAAAATGCTGCTGCTGACATGGATGGCGCGGAGCATTGGCAAAATGGTCAGCTGAAGAACATCTTGGAAGACTGCGCATCTGATAACATCTTTAATATAGATGAATAGGTGCTATTCTTTATTTCTGCTACCAGACAAAACGCTCGCGTTCAAAGGCGAGACGTGCACTGGTAGCAAGCATGCAAAAGACAGAATATCAGTGGTGTTTTGCGTAAACGTGACTGGAACCGATTAAACTCCGGTCCCTGTGATTGGAAAGTCGGTGAAGCCTAGATGTTTCAAAGGTGCCCGATTGCTATTAGGGGTCATCTATCGCAGCAACACCAAAGCATGGATGATGGCAAAACTCTTCGAGGAGTACGTGCACCTCATTTAACGTCGTTTTGTGGCTAAGAACAGAAGAGTTGTTATTATTTTAGACAACGCTTCGGCGCACGTCGCCCTGAACAACCTGACGGCTGTGAAGTTGCCGTTTCTGCCACCAAACACAACAGCGATTGCCCAGCCCTTGGACCAAGGCATCATTCGAACTGTAAAACAGCTCTACAAAAAGAACCTGCTGTGCTGATTCCTTCTCGCCATTAAATGTGGCAAATTATTCTCTATCGACCTGCTCGGATACTCGGGGCGGCAGGTTGAAGCAACGACAGTTCAAAATTGCTTCTAGCGTGTGCGGGCGACGCGGAATACGCTAGTGACACCATCGACCAGACTTCGGACATCATAGACGGAGCTTGCGAATCTCTGCTAGCTGAAGTGCTAGAGCGGCAGGGCGTTACGGAAGGCATGTCCTTCCCTGACTTCAGAGACGCAGACAGTGATGTGCAGACATCTCCCGGCATGTCCGACGAAGCCATTGTTGCCTTGGTTGTCAAAGTGTAGCCAAATGATAGTGATGAGGGCGACATGGAAAGTGACAACACCGGTGATCCAGGTCCGACAGTGGCAGAAGCTGCGCATTGCGTAAGGGTCATGCAGGTATTTGCTGAGAAGGGGCTGGCGGAAAAGCTGACTCGCAGCACAAGTGAGTTTGAGGCAGCTGTCATTGCTGCTAGGCTGTCGCATCGTCAAATGAAAATTACAGACTTCGTCATGCGAAGTTAATAAATAACTGCACGTTTTTGTTCTTTCATCACACTCCCTGAAGGTTTCTTTTTTTGACTGGTAAGTGGGCGACCTGATTCTATTTCGGTCAGGTAGAACTACTATTTAGTACGTACCTTTCCCGAGCTCCAGCCAACTGCGGTTTAACGAGGTTTCACTGTACTGCTTTGTTTATGTGTTTGGGCAGTTGCCATTTATTGCACTCTTATTTGCTCTTTCTCGAGATATTAAACTGATGAATTGTGCCCTTCCATACTGAAATTGAAGTGCAATGTTCTGTGTAATTTACGTTTGCCATAGAGTAAGAAGAAAAACTGAATTGTTTCTTGTACCGCCAGTGCTCAGGGGTTGCTGATATAACTCACTGTGGTGTACGATGAAACTTTGAGAATTTGGGATTCATTGAAGCTGGATTTTAACCTCTGGTGACCACCAAATACCGTATTTACTCACATAATAGGTGCACTTCTTTTTCAGAAAATCCGGCTTAAAGTTAGGGGTGCGCCAATTACGCGCGGTAAAGTTTTCGAAACTTTTTTCGACTCTGTTCTTGTACTTTAACTCTGCACATTTGTCATGTAAAAGGTGACTTTATCGTTTACCAATTAATTCAGCATAAAACAAACTTACCTGTGTACCTTTTAATGAACAAGCGAGAGCCGCCAACTACACGCACACTCACGTAAAATTTATTTACACAAAAGTCGTAGGTGTTCCTCCTTTTCCCTATCCAAAGTCCAAGTCGGAGAGCACTCATTCACCCTCGCCGAGCGGGGATTCGTTTTCGGTGTCCGAATCATCCGCACCCCACAACATGTCACCCTCACTCGCATCCAGCGCGTACGAGATACCCGTCTTCTTGAAGCTTTTCCTGACCACTTCGTCGGAGATCGCCTGCCACGCTTCCACAATCCAAGCGCACAGAATTTCCACAGACGGCCTCTTAATATTACCACCTGGAATCAGCTGATGTTGTCCTCCAGCCATCCGGGTGGTGTGCAGCCTTCGAACATTGGCCTTGAAAGGCTTATTCAAGGACACGTCCAAAGGCTGCAGTATGGATGTGAGGCCGCCTGGAATCACTGCCAGATCTGTGTGCAGCTGCTTTAGCTCATCTCGTACGCAATCTGCTAGGTGCCCACGAAAACTGTCCAGGACAAGCATGGACGTGAACAACAGACCACCCGGCCGCCGACGCGAGACTGTTTTCACCCAATCCACCTAGAGTTCCGCGCTCATCCAGCCTTTTTTCTGGACTCTGACGTAGATACCTTGAGGGAAATTTGCCTTTGAGAGCGTCTTACATTTAAAAATAATGTAAGGTGGTAGCTTGCGCCCATCCACTGTCACCGCAAGCATTACGGTGCATCGTTGTTTATCAGCGCCAGACGTTCTGACGATCACACTTTGTGCACCTTTCTCCTCCACCGTCATGTTCCACAGCATATCAAAGCAAAGGTGGTCTGATCAGCATTGCCGATCTGGGACAAAATGAAGTCTTTCTGCTGTTGGAGCTTTATAACGAAACGGTGGAAGTCCACTACTTTGTCCTGTTGCGACTCCGGGTCCTGCGGGTTTGGTAGCTGGCCCCCGTCCTAGGAAGCATCGTCGAACAAGTCAGATGAGGCGCTCATAATAATGACAACAATTTATTTAATGGCTAGTAACTGAGCATTTGAAGGAGGTGTTCAAGTGATCAAGTAGAAATCAAGAACTGTACAGGAGAATTGTTGAACTGTAGAACTTAAAATATACAAAAGTCTTCCGCATATATAGTGCCGCGTTGCCAACCCTGGGCACATTGTTCGTGGCTTCAGCCAATACGGCGCTCCATGGTCTAGGTGATCCACTCACGAAAGCGGGGAAAGACACCACACAATGCATGTGGAGAGGGCACAGTCTACACGATGCCCAAATATCTTCGCAAACGCACTGCACCGACGTTTCGCATTTGTCACCAAGATTTCCCGCACGTCCGGTGATCTTAGATGACCTTGCTTTCCAGGAACTATTCTGGCAGTTGGGTGAGGTTTGAAAAACCGGCTCCCGGTACACGTGTCAACTTGCCCGACTGCGTTCTAGTAGGACATTGTAGTGGTCTGCCAGCATATCGTCAAAACATGCCGTTCCCTTCAGCCGATCCTATGGAGTAAGGTGGAAGGAGGAGTGGTCGACTAATCCCTCGTCGTCGAAGCGGGCTCCCGCAAGGGCTGCAGCAGATAGTGCCTTTTCCTCTCTGTCAACCCCATATTCCTTTCCTCGTTGTTTGCTAGAGGCTGCAGCTTAGCAGCGAATATCCGGGGCTCCACTTCTCCTCGCAAGGTGCAGTCACAACCAGTTTGGCTTTAGCTTTCAGCCCAAAACTGCAAATACCACGCTGGTTCGGATGTTTCAAGATCCTCGGTGACCTTGAAGATGGCCCAGCTGCTTCCTTGTTTGCCTCGAAAGCCTTGCATAAAGTGGAGCTCACAATGGCCTTTCTTGGCTCGTGCGTTTTCTTTGTGCGAACCGGTCTTGGACCTCTCGTTCACGTCTTGCTGACAGGAAATCAACTCGTCTTGACGGCACATCCTTGCTTGGAATGCATCGGAATATTTTCGTTCAGTTCACAAAGGTCGAAAGTCTTTAATATGGATTACGGTCATAACAGTCCTCATGCTGCGGGCAAGCGCTAGCAAAAGGCGGTCCGCAGTGTGAGGCCATGGCGCCGCATGAAATGAGTTGTCCATCCGGAGCTGGCTTTGAACTCTTTGGCTTCGATGCGCTGCACTTGGGCTATTCTGCGTGCCTCAGTCTGCACAATATCCAACGACACAGCATAGCCGTCTTGTCATAGCTCCCGTATATGCCAGACTAACTGCTCTTCGACGTTCGGATACCTGCCGGTCTTGGCACGGTGGAAAGCTCGTGGTGTCTTCTTCGTCGCCTTAAGTTTTTCTTCTTAATCCCTCCAGTACCAAATACTGGTTTCTCCAACACCGAAATGTCTGCTTGCAGCCCGGTTGCCGTGCTCCGGCGTGTACTGCCCTGCCTTGAGTTTACCGTATTTACTCGCGTAATCCTCGCACTCGCATAATTCTCGCACCCCCCACATCGCCCAAGAAAAATACGATTTTTTTTTTTCCTCGAGTAATTATTGCACCCCCGAAAACTTCTGCAATCATGTCGTCTGCTCGTTCCAGCCACATGATGATAGCCTGCGCTATCTGGTGCCATCTCTTAAGCATCAAGCGTACTATTGCACGGAGATTAAATCCAATCGAAGTCAAGCCGAAGTGGCCAGTGCGCGTTGCGGCGTGTTTTGTATGTTGTGTCGGTAATTTTGGCACATTATGGGGCGATACTGAAGCCACACGGCTGCTTCAAGTTGCAAGTGATAGATCATGCGCTAAACAACGGCAACAGGGCCGCCGGTAGGCCCTTCGGAGCCTATGAGTTTTGTGTTTGCTACTGGTGACGGCAGCTGAAAGCCACCAAGATGCGTTGGGCCTGCTGTGTGCCTAAAACTGGGATTAATGGTAAACTTTATTTCTTCAGAAGGAAACTGCGGACGATTCTGTTAAATAGACATCAGCCCAATACTGACGTCCTAGGCTTACCTTTTGAGGGCTCCTGTTGAGCGCCGACCGCTACCGCTACGCCCGCAACGCCCACAAGCTTTGCGTATGGTATTATAATTCTTGACTATTTGCTTCCACTTTTTGTGTCTCAAATAAATCTTGCCTTGTGTTGAACCTCTGCTTTTATTGTTGAGGTAAGCTCTAATTAGTACTTCTTAAAGCGTGCTGTAAGTTGCTGGCGTGAGAATACAAATTTACGGCCACTTCGTTTTCTTTTTCGCTATCTGCATTTTCGTGGAACGTTTTCCCCGCGTAATTCTCGCACCCCCCAACTTTGCATCAGTTTTCTGGCAAAAAAAGTGCGATGATTATGCGAGTAAATATGGTAAATCGAGCTGTGTAGCTTGCGTACTTCCCCATGGTGAAGCCAAAGTTGAATACACGACCACAACATACGCACACCGCTTGCAAAATGGCGTTTCTTTCTTTTTCTCTGATGATGGTGATGGCGATCGAGCCCCCCCGGCGTTGTTCACGTGACCTCCAAGGATTGTGGCGATTTGGGGGGTAATCAGTATTGATGGAACAGTCGTTTTTTTTTTTTTTCACTCATGGACGCTTTGTTTTTCATGCTTTATTTCAACAAACAGTTGGTTAGGTCGTTGCACTTTGAATTTTTTTATTCGCTTGTCGATTTGCCTTTTTTTTTTTCTTCAGCCTACGAGGACCGCGTTCCAAGTGTACCACTGGGGGTAGAATCGTTTCTGATCACGGCTAAGTTTGGGGTGCGCCTATTATTTGCAGAATTAAAAAAATTGAATTTTCCGCGACCAAAGTAGCGGTGCGCCTATTAAGCAAGTGCGCTGATTATGCTAGTAAATACGGTTCTTGCTGGTGACACAGAAAGCACCTACCACTGCTCGTTTCGGGTATTATATATCTTAAGCAGTGTCCACTGTACATGTGTTCAGAATTATTTGTTCTTGCTTGCTTTACAACTTTTGTCTCAAAACTCTGATAGAATACGCTCAAACCTTGATATAACAAACCTGGGTATAACGAAATATTGGTTATAATGAAGTGAATAAATGATAGTCGTACAATATAGTCAGAAATATACTATTATAATATAATTCTTGGATATAACGAACTTATATTTAAGTACGATGCTACTTGTTATACTGGTGTCAGTGTGTACTCATCGTGATTGTGAGTTCAGGAGAATCAGTTTCGACTAAGTTCGTTCTAAATGGAACACTTAGTTGCCATTTGCATTTTTATGCTGTGTTTCTGAATTATGCAGTGCACCATGAAATGGAACTTGCATCTAATGGTTACTATACTGAATTGGAACCTGCTTTCCTTCCTCAGGACGTCACTCTTGTGAAAGCTGGTGGCCCTTTGGGCTTGAGTATTATTGGCGGTACGGATCACCCTTGCCACCCATTCGGTGCCGATGAGCCCGGTATCTTTGTGTCCAAGGTGAGTTCACTTGATGTGCTTGCATGTGCCAAGACTTTGCTGTATGAAACCGGTCATCTGCTTTATGAGATGCAGTTCTTTTAACACTGCACTGCTTGGCAGTAGAACCAGTTTTAACAAAATGTACCATTTAGCTAGCCTTTTTGTTTTTACTCTAGATTGTGCCCGACGGAGCAGCGTCAAAGTGTGCAAGGCTACGAGTGGGTGACCGCCTGCTCAAGGTGAGCAGAGTGCCTCAACACTAAAGTTTGTTTAGCGATATTTTAGCGTGATATCATACAATGAGCCCATTTCGCAGTTCATCCAGCGTGGTCAGCGTCTGCAGCATTGTTTAAGAGCGAAAAAGTCCTGATGGATGCAATGAATAAAAAGCTGCAATCTAACCCAGGCATTCTGAATGGCAGTCAGATGTTCTGTCACAGAATCAAGCCAGTGCTTGAAGCTGCTTCAAGAAGCGAGGGGAATGGGAGAGAGAGAACATCGTACAGGCATCATGTAGAACGAAGGGTTGTGCCGCAGAGCTGTCAGATTGACCTAGTAAATTTACCCGTGGTATGCAGCAGGGTGGCATATTTTTTCCCACCAAATTTATTACATTTTTTTTATAGTTGAATCAATGAATGAGACTGTTGCTGGTTGTATAGTTGAATCAGTGAGTGAGAATGTCTGCAGACCTATGGTTTATCTTATGCAGCAAATCAGGACTATCATAACAGTCGATGTCAGATTTCTCAGACTCCCGAAATTCCGGACATGCCTGATTTTCCGGACTCATCTGTGGCACCGTCAAGTGTCATTGTAATACCGCCCCTCAGAGCACTTCCGGCTTTTCACCTTTCTTTTTATTATATGGAAGGCACCCGTTGCAAACCATCGACACGATACTTCTGTACAAGCCAGATCCGTCCGAGTGGGCGCCTATTTCTGCTACAGCCAAGCTTGCTGAAGAGTGTCGAGAGCTTGCAAAGACCTTTACTGCGCATGATCAAGAGCGGCAAAAAAGCATTCGCTTCGCACTGACGCCAGCACTATTGCTCCCACGTTCCTCCCTGGAGCGCTCGTCTGGCTCTCGATCCCTACCACTGCAACTGGCCTATCTTCAAAACTATTGCCCAAATACGAAGGCCCCTACCGTGTTGTCGAACGCACTTCCCCTGTGAACTACTTGATCGAACCATCTTCGCAAATGCGCCGTCGAGGGCGCGACATTGTCAATGTGGAGTGCCTCAAGGCCTACCATGACCCGCTCATAGTAACCAGCTGTTAGGTCGCCAGGCAGTTCCCTTTTCATACCCGGGGTAGTTGTGGCGAAAGCCTTCGAACAATTGGTCGTTCTCTCCAGCGCCTTCTAGTAGGTCGCTCTTTCAGTAAGAGCAGCTCGTGCAGAGAGTCGGTCCTCGCATTGACTGTCGCTGTCGTGCATCATCGCCGAGTGTCCGCCAATAAACGTCTTTACAGTTGCCACACCTGTCCCGTTAATTAGGGAGGCGATCGCCGGGCTAATTCTAAGAGCCGAAGTATCGGCCCTCCGAACCGCACCACGAAAGCGTGGACAATTTAGGAGTGGTCCTTATTGGCGCGCCAGCAGACGCCGGCTGTGGCCCAAAGAACAAGTCAGAGCCGAGAGTTGATAAACAAACAAAATTATATTCTCGATAATGGCAGATCAGAAACAATACACAAAAATACACACTCCACAATAGTTGCATACAATATGTCACCAATCAAACCAATCAATCAACGTACTACACAATACAATCAGCCACACTTGAAACAACGGACTCGGACAACAATACGAGCTACAATGCAGTCGCATGCATTGAACAACCAAGACACTTAAAGACTAAAGAGATAGAAAACCTATTCAGTCCAAAGTTCTTGGAACCAAAGTCGAGATGATACTCTTCCGAGAATCACTCACTCAAAGTCCAGCGTTGTTGTCGTTCCGCAGCCCTCGAAGTTTCTCTTCCAGGAAACCTCCCGTCTTCAATTGGCCACTCTTCAAACTTCAACTTCTTCGCCGGAACACGTCGGCTTCGCACCCGCAGCTGTTGCCTCGCATCTTCGCTCGATAGCGGTAAACACACGCTCTTGCCTGTAGCTCGAGCTTCACCCCTCAGGTGAAAATCCTCTTCATCTCCGGCTTCGTCCCTACGGACCAAAACCTTCGCCGACTACACGGCGGAATCCCTACGCGCTCTGGCGTTAACTTCCGTCTCCTCCTGCTTTCTCGTCTCGGCTGCTCGATTAAATACCTTCCGCGCCACCTTCCAGAAAGTTCTCCTCATTTCGTCGGCGCGATGCGCAACGAAGGCTGGGGAGAGGCGCGAGACGGTTCGACTGCCCTCCGCGTCGGATGACTCATCTCGGCGTGGCCACGCCTCCTTCGTTTTAGAAAAATCGCGGGCTTGCTCGGCCGCCGTTGTGGGGTGAGGAGGTTCGTCGATGAAGCCACGCTTCTGCGGGGAGAGCGCGCGCCCGGGGAGCCTTGGCCGTTTGTTTTCTTTTTCTTTCCTTTTTTTTCTTTTGACTTCGCGGCGTTTCTCCCGCCCATTATCGCAAGAATTTGGCGTCGCGCCCTTTTTTAGCGCTCGTTCTGTGACAACAGTATTAAAAAGTCCAAAATTATGGGTGCTTACAGCTTTTGCCATCTGATTTTTCGCACTTTTAACTGCTAACAGCCGAACCGAAGTCACTGTCGACGCCACCGTTTTGGTTGTTTTCGTAATCTCAAACCCACCATACTTTCATCGCAGATGTGGTCAGCAGCGTGCAGCTGCGTGGCCAGCAGCACTGCACTGCGGCTGCCATGCCCTTGAAACCATAAATGCCACAATCTAGCGCACACCAATCCGTTGCCAGCTGCAGCTTAGTCAAACCTGTGGCCACAGCCGCATAGTGTCTTGCTCCGACAGTGGGAAAAGCTACGCCGTTGGCCAAAGGTCTGCCTTCGGCATACTTGCAGACTCGTGGAAGGTGGTTACGCAACAGACACTCCATTTCTGTCCGGAACTGTATTCGCCATGCAAGCTTCATACAGGTCGCCAAGAAGGCCGTCTTGCCTGGAGTGGACAGCGTCTGCATGCTGCGGGTGTTTCTTTTCCAGCCAGGATAACCTTTGAGGGCTTTGCCGACGCTGACAAAGACCTGGAACTATATGCACAATTGACCGCTGACTAAATCATTCTTCAAGTTGCGGAGCATTCAGAGGACTCTGACACCGAGATCGAAGAGGCAGGGCCTACGCAGCAAACGAGCTCAAAGTTGAAGTGAGCACCGATGACACTGTCACATAGGTGTACAGCAATAGCATGACGTTAGCTGAAATCAAGTCAGACAACATTACGGTTAACTGGAACGCTTTGCAAACAAAAATAAGCGACCTTTTTTTGAGCCAAAGTGTTTACAAATGTGATAGCACCGGCCACATCAGATTTTTTTTCTTTCTTTCTTTCGTTTCTTGCAAAGAGGGGGGGAATGCCTTGACCTCTGCCTACAAATTTTTTAATGGGAGTTTGATTCAAATATTGTGTGTTTTATTAAAGCTTGCTTGCCTAATTGCAACCACTGATAACTCATGTTCTAAGTTACGAGATGAAAAGGCATCGTGTTAAGTGTGCTAGAGCATGGATTATGCAAGGTAAAGAGCAATGACACTAGTATCATCAAAAAAGATATTTATGCTTTGACGTACTCATGAGTTGAGTTACTTAGGTTCACTCGGACTAGGATCGAGTCATGAGTGTGTGTCTGAGTTAGTCCAGTTGAGGAAAATTTTGGGGAGTTTGAGTTGGAGTGAATTGGTGGGAAAAAATTTCATGAGTTTGTTTCTGATTGAGCCCTAAGTGCAAAGTAGATTTCTTGAGTGGGTCTGTGTGAGCTCCACTGTTTTTGTTGACCTATGCATGAGAGTGCCCGCTCGTGCAGGTTAACGGCTTGGATGTGACTGAGTGCACACACCAGGACGCTGTGATGGCCTTGCTGGACCCATCGTACCAGGTGGTCCTCACCGTTCGCCATGACCCACTCCCCACGGGTTGGCAGGTAGGCCTTGACGACGACTCAGTGGTGATTTGATGGTCATGATTGGTGACTGCCTTCGGCACCGCAGCCGCCGCTACTGTTGTTCAAGTTATAAGCAACGTGGTCGTCCAAAACGCCGTCGCCGCTTTTCGTTCGTATTCAAAGTGCACCTATGTTCTTTTGTGCTCAGAAAAAGGACGTACACTTAAGGAAGAGCCGTGTATTTTGTTTTTGCGCCTGCTCGACTCTAAGGTGTGCCCCCTATCTCACTTTCTGAAACGAAATTCATATGAGACGAACTTGTTCAAGTGCTATCTGTTTTCTCCCTCGTCCACTTTGCAGCTTGTATGTATTCAGAAAAGCAACGTTGATGCACTTTGACGAGCTTTGAAAAATAGGCTCTTGGCTTTTTACATATTGGCATTGTTGATGTTGACATGGCAAAACAAAATGACATTGCTTCTTAATAACCTTCTTAATGGGAAGAAAAGTTGGGTTGGGAGGGTGCACATTATAGTTGAGTAATCGCAGTGCTGTTTGTTTTTGCCGTTGCGACGCCTGTGATGCTCTGTTCGCTTCGATGTAGCGCTTGTTGTGGAAAAGTGAGTGCTTAATGTGGACGTTTTCATCTTGTTTTCTTGCATGTGAGAATGGAGTAATTGATTTTGGCTCCAAGTGCACAGCATACAGCTGTGCACTAGGGGTCACTTTGCAAAGGGCACTTGGCAATGGATTACAAAAAAAAAAAAGCAAGTGGAAGCAATATATTCGAGAACTGTTGAAAATGCACTTCATAATTGTTGAATTTATAATTACCTCAATGCTTAACTTGTTTTGTACAGGCTCGCAGGAGACTCCTTGGTCATTTTGCTTCTGTTAATTTTGTTGGTATACCTATGTTTTATATTTTGTTAGACAAGCTAGTAAAGCACTAAGACAAGGAGTGAATGAATGTCTAAGGAAACAAAGCTATACTTAGCAAACCAAAGGTCGCTAGATTGAATGAACTTTGGCCTTGTTATAATGAGCACTCCGTTTGTACACTTGCCACGAGGCTTTGTATTCTAGTACTAAGCTATGCATAAGGAAACTTGTAGTTCATTGCCGTTGTGTATTTTTACATTCATTCATGCACCATTGAGTAGTAAGGCGGCAGTTTCTTACTTCGTCTTTTTTTATTTCATTATTTGACTTGACTGACAAACTTTTATGATGTACTTTTTATTGGAGAAAAATATTTTTCACCAAAACTATTACAATTTTATAAAGTGACGTCCTATGCTCCTTCTTAAAAAAAAGTAACACGTTAGGTCATTCTGGCCTCGTTTATGTTGTGCCATCTGACCCCTTCTCTTCACTGCCTTAAAACTTTTTAAAAATTGATTTTACACTTCTGTCCTACAATGTTTGATGCTGTTCACCACACCAATGTGACTTGCTTTAGTATTGAATGATTAATTCTTCACGTAGCATGTTTCCTCAATCCCAACATGATGCAGCAGCCTGATTAATCTAGTCTAGAAGTGATTGGCCAAGTTCCTTGCACCAAGTTGAGCTTTGACCTAGATTACCCCTTTCTTTGTTTTCCACAAGTCCTGTTCGCCAAAAGCATTTATACCCTTGTTTCAGGACAGTATAGCGTGTAGTTTCCGCTGTGTAAAGGACTTGGTTTTGTATTAAGCACACTGCGAGCTCGATGCTTACAGTATCTTATGTCCTTTCTTGGCTTGAAGCTATTGCTTTTAATTGAATATACAAGCAATAATTGGTGTGAAGTATCTTGTACCGTGTCATAATTGTTTTCTGGGGCATTCAAATTTATACCTCTGTTGAACGAACTGCAAATAGTTATATACTTTGCTTTCTTTCTGTTCAATTTCTGACGTCTGTCATGAGGGGTGAAAATGAGAAATAAAGATATTTTTAACAAGATACTCACGGTAGGTTTGTTTTGCTAACTAATCTTGATTATACTCAGGTAATGTGATCTCAAACATTAATGGAAGAACTTTACGTTTTTTTTTTCTTTGTTTCTTGCTCGTTTGGTTGAACGGCTTGTCTAATATTTTTATGACAGTTTTTTACGGTTTCGAATGTTTCTGGTTTGGCATATATGTTGGATCCGTCATCCTAAAATTATGCCATGTCCATGTGCAGCTGAACCTTGTCTAACAAATTAGGATCGGTACCATTAGTTTGTTGGGTTCATTATTCATTGTAACAGTACAGGCAAAAACCGGCTCTAACCAATCGGCAGTCTGACTGGTGTAAAATCCTTAATACAAAAATGCAATATTCTAGGTTTCAAACCCACTTTAAATGAGGTTATTCTTACCTGTCTTGTAGTGGCACAACAACTCAAATGTTTTTTTTTTTCCTTGCAGTGGTGAAGCAAAATTTTCTCAAGTTTTTTTACCACATTGCTAATCAGCGTTTTAGTTTTGCAACTACATTTTTTTAGAATGAGGTTGTGAATGGTATTTTAATATTTGCCTTGCTTTTAATGCCATTATCAAGTTCTTAAGTGCACGTGAACGAAATATTTGTTTTTTACAGCTGATGATGCAGAGGCTCCTGCATTTTCGATTTTATTATAGAGTGAATAAATTTCATCTAAATGAAGCATGATGAATAAATGTTTGTATTTAGTTTCCTATAACAGATAATTTGCTTGATCAGTGTTTGTTACAACAAAGTTCAACTACTTTAACCAGAAAGAAATTGCAGGAGGTGCGTGCTTTTTATTATTGAAGCATGTGACCATGATTTTGCCATGGCAAGTCAAGAATTAAGGAAAGAGGGATCGGTGGTGCTATAGTTCTAGTAGGTCTAGTTCCAAATTGAAGCTGTATATAGTGTGAAAGACATATTTAAGCAAGCTCGTTGAGGAGGCTTTTATGCATGGGCAGTGTATAACCAGTACACGCATTGTCCCTAAATGCATAATATCATGTAGCGGTATTATTTCTTCGGCAATTTGCATTTTACTGTTCGAGGGTATGAACGTTAGTGTTCTCAGGTTCATGTTCTTTTTTTTTTCTCTCTCTCTTTCTGGAAGCTATGTTCTTGCAGTTCTTGATTTCACTATAAGTTAACCAGATTAACCTATCAAACAAGACAAGGAGAAAATCGTTTATAGCTAAGAATGAAGCAACCGCTTTATGAAGCGTGTGCTGTTTTATGCATTATTCATTGTTAAATACTTAGGAGAAAAGACAAGGAGTTATTACTGGCATAGTAATATTGCCTGAACTTACTTTTGAATTTTAGATAAGCCTGACATCACTAGGGCACGCATTTCAAAACAATTGATTTCAGTTTTCACTTTGTTCATGTGTGATGACGAGGGTGCAAACCCAGCAAACTCGCCATGTCGGCAGCCCTCCGAGCCACGTCATAACCAGGGATGGAGAGCCCGAAGAACGTCAAACAGAGCAGATTGTTAGAAAATGCATGGCCATGAATGTCATGCGAATGTCAAGTATTAATCTATGTCATCATTCAACTTGCGTCTTGCATGAACAAAGGAACGTTGATACTGAGCACTGGAAACAAGTGTCTAGAAGAGCACTAATACGAATAAAATGCATTTCAAAATGTGCTTTAACCTAATGCTCAGCTGAATCTTGTCATAACGTTGGTGCGCAGCTGCCGTGTTGCAAACTATGTCTCTAGTTTGTGTAAGTGTCATTATGCATATTCACGACATAGGATTGGCGCAGAAAATTCGTAAAAGAAATGGAAATAAGTATTCAGCTTTAAAGCAGGACCAGATTTTTTCCTCTTCTGAACATTCTTAGTTGAAGCATTCAGTTTTTTTTTAATCTTTACAGGAGCATAATGAATGAGTGGCATTCTGACAATAATCTTTTACCCACAATGAAATGCCACATTATTGTTTGTTTACTGTGACAGATCTCTTATCTGCACATTTAATATAATTCACATCATACTTCACGCATACTTGGGAATTGTACCGAGGCAAATGAAACAATGAACTGCGTAAAGGTTAAGTTCCTAGATTGAGCTCGTGTGAGTACTTTTATTTGCTGCTATGTTGAGTGTGCCTGTATAAAAAAATTGAGTGATTGCCTATGTCTTGAACTTTTCTTGCTGCTGGTACTCTAAAAGGCCGAGCCACTAGCTGTAACTGTAAGTACAAACAAGTTAATATCATTTGCATATTCCCACTTTGTTATCAAAGCACAACTTATTGTTTTCTTCTTGCCTTATCCGTCGTCTGATGTCACCCAGTGCCTGTAAAAATACCACTCCTGTGTTACACAGTGTTTGCATCGTGTTGGCTAACCCTGTCGTTATTACACCTTTAATGAATTGTGTTCCAAGCTTGTCTTCAAAGGTAGCATAAGGACCAGTCAGGCTTCCGACCCAGTTGTGTTGAAATGGAGGTGAAACACCAAAGGCTCGTGCATTGTGCGATGGCAAGGCGTGTTAAAGAACACCATATGGTCAACATTTCCGGAGCCTTCCACTACGGTGTACTATGGTTTTGGCACGTAAAACCTCTGATGGTTCTAAAATGGTTACTTTGACTTGACTCAAAATATAATGAACTTACACTAAAATCTACATAAGTTTGCTATGTTTTCTTTTTTCTAGTTGGAGTAAATCTTTTCAAATCGTGAGCTCACACGGCTTTTGAAACATTTTTGCATTTAAAACCTTCGATGTTATTATTACCGGTCTCACTATAGTGGTCTTGCTGGCAAGAATCGTAGTCGTAGGCGTAGCTCCATGAGAACTGATCCTAATATAAACACACAAAGAATAATTTATTCTCATTAACATCGCTGCACAACTGTCCATCAAAGGGGTACGTTTGTGTGAAGATTTATTGTATCTTGAGAAGGTTTTGGAGAGCTCTACTTTTTCAGCCATTTCTTGCTTCTTTAATTCGGCGATTCTGCACATAAGCAAGTATTTGTGTAATCAATCGAAGATAATATACAGACACTTAGTTGCTGATTGATGCAGTTAATGTAATTGTGAGCTTGAAGTTAGCATTTGAATTAATGTAGGAGACTGCATCATAGTTGGAGGCACATTTCAAATATTCTAACATGATGTTATTGGTCTTATCATGAAAGTCCTTATGCTTCCTTTCACTTGTTTGTTGTTTCCTTGCGTTTTACTTAGTTTCATAATGTTGATTACAAATGCCCTTGTTTAGAGCCATATGCTTTTTTTAAAATTTTTTTTTAGTCACGACTGTTGCTTGGTTTACTTGAATGCCTCCTTTGCCTGTCGGTATTGCAAATAAAAAAGACACAGCACTGTTTTGATTGCGGTATCTTGTAAATAGTGCTATGCCGAGCTTACATGGGATTTTTCAATGCTGTACGACTGTTGTTCGCCACTTATTTAACAATTGCCATTACTTAGTTGCATAGAGTTTCATACAATAACACCTAGAGATGTCATCGTGTATTTGACTATGCATTTTCGATGCAAGTGGTTGAATTGAAATCAATTAGGCCACCCAGAAATTTGAGTGTGCTAGAGTATCTTGGGGGTGCTGGCATGGGCATCCAAATTACAAAAGAGTAAGAAAGCTTGAATACCAACATTTTTAAGATGAGCTACAACAGTTTTGCACAGTTGATTTGGCAATAGTAACAGGCCTCGTGCAGCTTATAATGAGTGGAACCGATGATGGCAGCTTTTTTCATGAGTGCTTCTACAGGACATCGTATTTAGCACTTTCTTAAAAAATGCAAATGCACTCAATTATTGAATTACCTTTGTGGAGCTTATCTAAGAACTTTGTACATCTTCGACGGCCCTTTCAGATCACTGAAAGTACACATGCGCGAGGTCACATGGAAAGCTTAAGAGTTCAGTTACTGTTTTACCCACGTCTTATGAAATCTGCATATTGAACCAGTAGGAGGCCCTTCGTTTTCTGAAAGCTTCATGGTGCTCCTTCTACCGATAATGAAAATCTGCAGCTAGTATTCCTCACTGCACAACAGTTAGTACTTTCAGTTATTGGTGTTATTCATATCAACAGGCAGCTGTGTTGCAGTAAAGTGAGCTTGAAACAGTGAAGAGAAATTCATTTGCAAGATATTGCATTTGACGAAGGTTAGATATGTGTGTAGCTCTGCACTCTGCATATGGCATTTAATAAGTGAATGCTACAACCGCTCAATATAGAGGACAATTCTTCATGGTATGGCTGCCTATTGGGGAAGAGATATGGGGATTTAGAGACAGTAGACCATTTCGTTATTTGTCGAGTGTCCTCTGTGATTTTCGTGTGTGCTGTATGAAAGTCTGTTGTGATTTATTGCACGCATGTATCGTAGCTGCAAAGATGTTGCCTTGTTGTGCCGGTCCATTGTTTGTTTGTAAGCTTCTTGCTGGCAGATGTTTTTGTCTACTCTTCTTGATGTGAAATTTAGCATGGTTTCGGTTACTGTCTTGGCTTTGTACATGTTGCATGGTGCCTGTCGCATGGACACTTTTTCTGCTGCCCTGCCTTTTATTTCGTGGAGGACCAAAATCAACATTTGCAACACGCAGGAGCTCATGATTCAGCGAGAGCCGGGAGAAAAGCTAGGGATGAACATCAAGGGAGGTGTCCAAGGGCATTCCGGGAACCCGGCCGATCCAACTGATGAAAGCATTTTTATTTCAAAGGTAATTATTACTGCAGGTAAAATGTTTAAGGGCAGTTTAAATGGGCGAAGTAGCAGTTTCAAGAGTTGCTAGTCTGCACAATCAATAAAATGTGCCAATTTGAGGCTAACTAATATGTGAAATTTCATTTTTTCTGTCTCTATTTTTGTTGATTACTAATTAATCTTAGCTCTTATATTTGAATAAGAGTTCTAACTACAACACCAAAGTAGACAAACAAAGGTGCTTGCTGATATTTTGTTACCTTTATCACATCTTTATGGTGACTTGCCGTGAAAAACTAATTATGAGTCGCCCATGTAAATTGCAGCTAATGTGAAAAGCATATTCAATAATGTCAGCATTTGACATACAGAATGTACTAATGCACTTCATTATCTCCTGGTAGCATTATGTTATAGTGTTCAATTTTTTATTCGCTTTCTAGATAATAAATGTGGAATAGCGCTGACATTCATTGTCACCTTCTGCAGATAAACACGAATGGTGCAGCACTTAGGGATGGCAGGCTCAAACCAGGAATGCGAATTGTTGAGGTGAGTATTGTGCCGTACTTAACTCTGTTTTAAATACTTATTGGCCTGAAGATTAGCTCCTGCCCATTATATACGAAAAGGGACTGTCCATGTCGCTGGGGCTTTCTCGAGACTTGTTTCTACATTTTTAAAATCTGTTTGTTATTATTTTTTTCCAGTTGGGTCAGGTCTACTGTGACTTACCAGACACTGGAGCTAGAGTATTTGGCATTACTTTCACCTTTTGCATATAAAGTTTAAGCGTAACTGCACTAATGGTGCAAAAGCATCATTCGGTGCCCCGCATTGTGGTTTTTGTAGCGCCAGAAGCACCGTTTTCTCCTGCAAACAATCACTTGTTCGTCATTTGAGGTAACTGCAAAGTGCCAGTTGTCACTTCCGAAACTAGTATGTTTATTTTCTGTGCATTTTACAGAAAGGTGGGAATTCTTACTGCTCAGTGGGTGTTCCTAATGCGAGTTACAATTGAACCTTGTTGCGACGAAATCGGTGGTGAAAATCCCGTAATCTCGTCATCACGAGAAATTTGTTATCACAAAATAATACAGTACAAATATGTCAACCTTGTGTGAGTAGAAAATCTCTGGTTAAATGTTTCGTCGCTTTTCATTGTTAAGAGATTGCAATTGAGCAACATTTCATTTGTTGCAGATTGCAGTTTAGCAATGTTTCGTTGTCGAGAAGTACAAGATGCTTTGAACCCTGCAGGCATTCGATGAAGATGGGAAATTATTTCGTTGTCGCGAGAATTTCGCTCTTGCCGATTTAGACTGTGGTAAATCCCTGGTAACACCTTTCTGGAACTAAGTTGCTTTCATTGCCTTGTTTTACCCAGTAAAAGGTTTTCAAGTTCATTGACTTCCTTTGCTCAGGTGAATGGCCTGTCTCTGCTGGGAGCTACACACCAAGAAGCTGTAAACATTCTGAGGACTGCAGGCGACACGATACGGCTTGTGGTTTGTGATGGCTACAATGCAGCTACGACTCCAGGTGGCGACTCGCCTGGTCAGGGAGGCTCGCTGAAGGCTGCCGCCTCTGTGTCCTCCATTGACCACGAGGACGAGGTGACACTTGCCCTGAGAGAGGTAAGCAGCGGGGATGTGGTCAGTACTCGTCAGCAGATAGGCATTACTCTGGTGTCGCTTCGTCATCGGGGCAGTACAGATGATGGGTTCAAATAATTTACAGGGAACTTCTTGCTTGGGCTGCAGTTTTGAAGCGTTACTCATTGTAAGTTTATTTGTCCGAAGTTTGAGCCCTCAAACATGACAAGTGTGCTAAAACTCCAATCAAGCGGGATTTGTTTGTTAACAGGTGTGAGACCTGTAACATTCTTGTCATTGCATGTGATGTGGATACAAGTTACAGTTATGCTTTTTACACTTGCCGTAACAAAACATTAATTTATTCTGGTTTTAGTGTCCTGACAGAATTTTCGTGTGTGGTCTACAGAAAATTGGGGATAGTTATCTGTTATAATGGGGCTAAATTAAAATGCACAGCTCTGCTTTTAGATAAATAAAGCTTTTCATAAGATAGGGAAGGACGTTGCATGTCATTAGCTTGTGCTATGTGGCTGACATTTCTTGTGTTTAGCTGTAAGTGTAGCATAAAAAAAATGCAAGGACTAAAAATGCATTAAATAGCTTTAGTATTGTATGCTTTGTGTGAACCAGTATGCAGAATGAGCTCACAGTTAGGCCTGCTGTAATGGGCCTGCAACATTGTGAGCTTGCATTGCATTATTTTCTTTCCATGCTTACTTTAATTTAGCTTCTGTGATTTATTTGTGCCTCGTTACAGTGGCTGTTACGCATGTATGAATGTGTTTTAACTCCTGTTTTTGTGCAAGCATACTAGTCCACTGCATGCAGTTAGTTTCGTTGTGATGTACACTGTGACTGGTGAAGGTACCTAGTACACTATTTGTGCTTTGTTTTCATCAGTGAGCTGTGCACTTGCTGCAGAGCTGTAACGAGGGTTCTTTTGGTTTCTTTTTTTTGCCTTCTTTTTGTTGCTGCTTTTTGTAACCACTACCAGGAGCAAAGTGCACTCAGAGAAACAGCCCAGTGGGAAAAAGAGGACCGTGATACCATAGTGAGTTTAGCATGCACACCTGTTTCTTCTCTCTGTCTCTCTGGTCGCACGTTTCCTTTGGCAGGAACGTACAACCTAAGAACTTGAGCTGCCGTAATGCAGTCGCAAATGGGCAAATTAATTATTACTACATTGCATGCGACAGAGGGAGTTTCCAAACTCGCACAGTAGATCGCTTGGTCTTTTTTGAGTTTTACGTTTTAGATTACACCACTGACGCTGATACATATGGCTTGTGTGAGGGCCCTTGCACGTCAATGATTGGGTTACCATAACTAACACACCTAAAAAATATGTAAAAATGAAAAGGTTATTGGTGGAGGGGAGTACTGACAGGGCACTGGTAGTGGTGGCACACAAATTGCATTTGCAGTGTCACCATCAATATTAGATCTCCTCATAAAATTGGTTCAGGGATGCGCAATAATTTAAAACCATCATACTTTCTTCAACGATGGCTTGGGTTTCAAGAAAAGTGCTCGATGTCCCTTTTAAAAGATGTACGCAGATTTTAAATAGTGCTCCTCGAAAGGTTTCACTTAACGAGCCTTTAATGCAAGTACCTCGGCTGTGCATATACTCTGTCAATCGGCTAACTGAACATTATTAGGTCTGAAAATGTGCTACTTGTTGACCGTAAGGTGTTACTGCATGCATTTTTCTCGCATGTTGCAGCCTGGCTTAGGGTACATGAGATTTTTTCTGCTCTCAAGCAACACAAATTATGTCGTCCTACTAAAACTGCTTTTTTCTTTTCTTGAATAAGTTGTGTAGTGAATTACGCAAAAGTTTTTCCATAATGAAAGTGAAAGCTTCCTTGTAGCTCACAAATCGTGTAGTCAATTTGTGTCAGCTATGCTTATGTAGAGAGCAGTGGTCTATTTAAAGTTGCTGTTGGGGCTAAAGATTTCAGTAGCACATTTGGTCATTTATAACTCGAAACAGTGCTAAGTATGGTCTTCGCTCACTTTGTTGTGGCAAGTCTTTCAGCGGGAGCAGGGTTGACTTCAGATTGCTACTAGCAAAGAAATGCTTGTCCTGTTTTGTTTTTGTGCTCTATTTTTCATTATTTCTTTTATCTTTCACTTCGGCTTTTTTTTTTCTTTCTCATCGAGTGATGCTTAATGGCTGTTTTACACATGGGGTCTTTCTTGTTAGTTCACAGCTTTCATCTGTCAAAATTTTTGGCAGCAGAGAACTGGAAAGTAGATTGTTTCTCTTGGTTAGTGGAAAAAAGGAAAGGGAATATGTAATAATATTGGATTCCGAGGCAGTGTTACTCTAAATAAATAGCGCTGTGCTGCTCTAATGTTTTTTTTTTGTAGTAACTGCATTGCACCATGATAGTCACACCATTGACCTTTACTCTTTATTTAAGCTTCACAAGTAGTCTGGAGGTAAAAAGATGTGCTGGTCGTGGTCGATAAGCGTGCACATCTATGCCTACCTTTCTTAGTTCCATGCAATGCAGCAAATGTTAAAACTCCTGTCAGCCATTTGGTAGCAGCTAGTCGGAGCCTTCCATGTAGCATCCATGCAGCTGACGTCTCATGGAGGGGATTTCGGGGTGGAACGATCTTTTTCTTTTGGTTGGGCTAGTCTGCCAGCATGACTCTCGGCTTTTGCAGCATTGCATGGATCTAGCAAGGCAGAGTAAATGTAGACTGCACTACTGTCACCTGTTTTTCTTTTTCCTTTTCATCATCTTTCTCCCTGCGTTTTTTTTATGTTGTGTTACAGTGGTGTCTCGTTATTAACTGGGCTATCTGCCTCTTCTTCGTTGGAAACTGTGCAGAAAGCACTTAACTGTGTGCACATTTAGATGCGCTGCATGTGTGCCTTTGTCGAAAACGCTGCGCACTTCGTGCGGCATTATCTTCGCACATGCAGTACGTGTACTGTCTCACCCACACGACTGCCCTGCTCCTCACTTCTTTGTTGCCACACTTAGGAAAGGCTGAAGAAGGAAAGGGACGCAGACTCGCACAGCTTGCACAGCTTCACCTCTGTCTCCTCACAGCACTCGGGCAAAGCACTGGCCACGTTGCCCGTCGATGTAGGTACCCTCCTCGTAGAAGCCCTTCCCTCCCTATATCACCTGTTGTGCAAAAAAAGCACTCGGGACGAGTAACTCCACACAGGCACCAGCACTGGCATGTTACCCAGAGCTGTGCACTTGCAGATTGATCTAGCCGATCCATCGGTGCTTGTTCCACACCTCATGTGGATGTAACTCTGGCCAGTTTCAACTAGTATGAGCATCTAACATGCGCATTGGGTGTGGTAATTTAGTTGAAGAATGCAGGATAATCACACTGCTTGTTCCTCATTTAGAAAAACAAGTGTGCATGCTGTGTTTCAGCGAAGGAGAGCATTCAGTCCCAGAACTAAAAAAAATTTCAGACCGATCCCCACTGCCATTCCTAGGTTTATAAAAGGACATCGTCAGCCAAGGCATGCAGGTGTCAATTTTAATTGTGGTGGGGAGGATGAGCTTACAAAATGATGTACAGTTTCTAAATGGGGTTCGATGACATGAAAAAGAAGTAGTCTATGCTCTCATAACTGCAGTAAGATAGAGGAACAGTTTCATTTGAAGAACCAGCATAGAATATGCTTAACATCCTGTAAAAGCTGCCAGCATAGTTTTATCTGGCCTTGCCGGGGAGTGGAGTTTCTCCTCCTTTGTGTTTCCTGTTCCAACTTTGTCCTTTGCTACACAAGTTACCCATTTTGTTACAGGTTATTTTTTTACATGTGTGTTATATTATACATGTATATTATACAGGTTATATTATACATGTGTGTGTGTGTTTGTGTGTGGGTGTGTGTGTGTGTGTGTGCGTGCATGCACGCACGCACACGTAGACTGGCACATCTATTTCATCTCTGAAAAACTGTCTTGTTGAGATTACAGCTACATTTTTCAGATGACAATTACGATCAAATGATGCTGGCTGTCAAAAAGGAAAAAAAAAAAACCTTTTCATGAACATCTTTCACCCATTGAGAAAAATGACTCTTCATGTAAGCATTCACTGCCCAGCGTCACATTTTTCTTGGTAATTTGCTCGCCACAGAAGGCACTCAAGCATGAAATGTGGTGCTGTATTATATCAAGTAGGTCCCACCTGTGCATTGTAGTATAGATACAGTCGAACCTCGATATATCGAACGGCGCAGCGATCACGAAATAGTTCGATATGTCCAGAATTCTTTATAAAAAAATCACGAAAAAAATGCGTCAACAGCTTGCTGAAAACAACCAACGAACCGTTCAAGCGTGGTGCAGTAAATACTCACTTGAATATTCAAACATAGTGTTTATTGTGTTTGTTTAAAATATTGAAAAAGACTAGCCTGCTTTTTGTTGGCCACGGCGTGTTTGACGACTGCATCCTCAATATAGTCCAAGCGATCCATAAGTGATAGGCCAGTGCCTTCAATCGTGCCGCAGTGGCGGCGCACAAGGGCCAAGGCAGCTACGACCTCAGATGAAGTCAAGAGCGGGGCACCATCAGCGCTTGCGGGATCCACCTCGGCAGAGTTTTCATTCGGCTGCTCAGCAGTAGCTTCGGCGACAATCTCCACATCCGTGAGCTCCGCCGTTGTGAGCTTCGCCGTGAGCTTTGCCGTTCGGAGTTAGACCTGTCGCGCACTACAGCGCGCGACAGGCCTAACTCCGAATGTATGAACACTGCGAGCACAACGACCGATGCCTGCCGATGCTACAGGGGAGAAGCTTGCAACAAGTGCGCAGTGTGCCGTTGACACCATAGAGACTGCAACGACTGCAAGCTGCAAGGCTGCGGCGCGTGTACGCAGCTACGTTAAAGTGGCGCTCTCGGCGCCATCGATGTGTGCAGCATTCGTAAACGCCCGCCGCTCTATCACTACTTTCGAGAGTTGGGGGAAAGCTCGCCGCCTGTCAATGGAGCGCGGGCGGTTTGGGGTGGCTGAGTTCGATATATACATTATATGTCAAACTTTGTTCGAAATAAAAAATCAATAATGCATGCAATTTCCCGCGTGATAAAGGAACAGTTCGATATAGGCAATAATTCGATATATCCGTGTTCGATATATTGAGGTTTGACTGTATACTCAACGACATAATTTGTAAGATAATATTTTCAAGCTTACGTGCCATCTCTATTCAGCTTTTCTTTTTTGTTTTTGACAACTTTGACTTTGTTGCATCTTTCTCGCTTTTTGTTAGTTTGTTGCCTTCCTTTTTTCTGTCTCTGAATCAATGTTGTAGTAATATGGTACCCCACGACAATGTGAAATCGAAATTTTAAGCACTTCACAAACTTGTTGACATTTATGAAGTATCTTGTAATACAGTCGACTCCCGTTAATATGAAGTTCACGGGAACCGCAAAGAACTTCGAATTGAACTCACTTTTAATTAAGCAAAATGCACAGAAAGCTGCGCTTTTATTGTTTCAGACCTGACATTTCTCAAAGAAAATACTCTGTCATCTTCTCTTGTCGAACCTGCCTGCGGCTAGCAAGTTTTCCAAGCACTACAGATGTTGAAGTGCTTCTTCTGCGTTGTCTTCTTCAAGAAAACGTAAAAATCGCAGTGCAAGAGCAAGACCCGCTGCAACATCAGTAGTCCTCGGCGGTGGTTCGTTTCCATGTCGTCATTCACTAGCCTGTTTTTCTGTTTGTTAGTGGACTGCATGTATTGACGTTGTTGTCCTTGGCAACAAAATTTTCAAAATGGACGTCACTAAGAATGGCCCGCAAACTACTGTCGTCGAGTTCGTCTGTTTGTACTTGACAAAATTAAAGAGCAAGTTGGGCTTAACACCATACTTTCGTTCGAGATCTTGCTTGGCTGTGCCTCCCTGGTCAACTTCTTTCAAGACTTTCTAAATTTTTGTTGCCAGGTCACGCATTTAGTAGAGGCTACGAGTTGCCACTATCCAACATCACCACTACAACACTCAAAATCTGCTGTGGAAACACGTGCAGAATCAACCCACAGTGCGTTGGCGGCCTAGTTGGTTTATCGTGCTATGTTTGAACAGCGCAACAGGACGAGGATGGAGCAGAGCATGCACGCACAAAGCGCTGAGTGCGTGTTTGAGCATTCTTTTCCGCCAGTGTCCAGTCGCGCTGTTCTAACTTCAACCAGACTTCAACCCAGCGTGCGGCTAAAGCACTCAACACAACACAGGGAAAGACCTATTCAGCTGGTGCGATCAATTTGATGCCCGGCGTTGACTAGACAAGATGGCCGCTTCAAGAACTGAGGTGCTGCGGGCAGTGGCGATGGTGACAACAGCGCGGTTCGACAGCTGTCTTGGCACACAAAAATTCCCAATTTTATTGAAAAATTATGATCGTCTCGAGGCTCCGGACTGAAAAACTTCAAGTTAACCAATATTATGGGCAATTAAGTAACTTTGAATTATCAGAAGTCGACTGTATAGAAATGTTACCATGAGGTGAGGCTATAATAGTTGTGGTATTTTGTGGTAGCTGTTACGAATTTGTTCAGCTCTCAAAGCACTTGCATATTTATCCACCTCATGGGCCGCACCACAATAGTAACTGCCTCAAACTACCTATATAGGAACTTTTACTGTGTACTTGAAGGTTTTTGAACGTTCCTTCAGTACTTCGAGCAGTTCTTAAGTACTGACTGCAGTGATTGATAATTTAAAATGTATTTTCTGCCTACTGCGTCCTCTGGCGCCATAAAGCTGTACTTTATGGTCGATATTATCAGCAGTGTTGTTGTAGATAAATATATATGACAAGAGGGGGGGGGGGGGGGGTATGCTATGAGGTGGCTTTACTGCACTAAACTAGAAGGTCACTCTTAGGGTGTGCTATTCCCGTCAATTTAAACCCGAGCATTGGCAAGCCTTCGTGATGGTATAGTGTGCCCCGTCCACCTATCGCCATAGACAGGCACTCATATATGTGTAGAATTGCCCTGCAGGATGCGCGCGCCTGGTAATGGCGATAGCTGCACGGTGCACACTAAATCATAGCGAGGGCGCTTGCTGCTGTTTGGGTTTAATTTGACGCGGATATTACCTACATTATCTAAAAGCAGGACTGCAAAAAAAAAAAAAAACAATTAAGAATGACTGAAGCAGATATTTTATACCTTTGTTTAAGGAACATAGAGAGAATGTGCCTACTGTAGTGAAACTTCGATTACAGTGCAGTCCACTTATAACGACATCGAGAAAACCTAAAAATATGATCGTTATAACCGGTGATCGTTATATCCGGACTGCCGCCAAAAAATCGTCGCCGGACGTACCTTTTGTAGCTCCAGGCTTCATTTCGCTATTTTCACCAATTAATAAATATTGTAGATAGTAGGATGTCAAAAACAAGACTTTATTTCTTACTCCGAAGAACGCATCACGGGTTCGCTGAGGAAGAGAGACTGACCGAGGGCGGGGTGGGAGCAGTGGGAGGAAGAAAGCACAGCCAGAGGTACACAGCCGGAATGCCAACGAGGCCCCGCCCCGATGCCGCCGCGCCGCTTTGCTTTTCGCTTTTTTTATTTTCTCTCTCTTTCCCGCTTTCGTTCGGCAAGCTACGAGTAGCTTGCCGGCTTGCCGTTGTAGAAGGCGGGGAGCCGCGGAGCGCGGCGCTTTGCTTTTCGCAATTTTTTTTTTTAATTTCTCTCAGCCTCTCCCCGGTTTTTACGACGGATCAGTCTGGTCCTGGCAAAATCCCCATAGAGATAATGTATTAGAAAGCTTGGCTATACGACGCAGTTTTACACCGACCCCGCATCTTACGACGACGTTCCTATTTCATCCGAAATAAGAAACGCACCTTTACTCGCATCAAACGTCCGCCAAATACTCACAAGTGCAAAATCTGAACTTGCGTTTCTCTAGGTTGATGATTAGAAAAGTAGAGATGGAGATAGGATGTCTTCTTAGAATTGAAAATTTATTCCATCTGATCCTCTCGGATTTCTGCCAAATGTTCACCTTTGACTTCTGCATACGCCTCAATCGCATGCCTACACAGGGTTGTTACCAAGAGAAGCTCTGTCCAGAGTAGCTTCAGCTGGCGATAAAGCTCATTTCTGAGATCCTCATATTTTACAGCGAGAGCTGTTATGACATTTGATATTCTTGCTTCTTTTTCTTTTCAAACTCTGTCGTTTTTCATCGCTCTGATGAAGCCATAGTCGTCGACGACAGGAAATGATCGGAGTAGCAGTAAGAAATACTATGTAGTATACATAGCAGATGCACTGCACCATGCGCTAGCCTTCCTTCTCTACGAGATCAGAACATGGGTCGCGTGTGGCACCGTACTTGTCCGCCGCCACCGGTGTCCGTAACCACTATTGCATGGAACAAAAAAAAACTTAGCAAATAAAAACGCCAAGAATACAGCGGGATTCGAACCCAGGTGCCCTGCATGCCAGCTCAGTATTATTCTACCACTGAGCCATGCTGGTGCTTGGTACCCCTTTGCAAACTGGCCTTAGGCAGGCTTGATGTCAGGAAAGGAATCGCGTTAATATGAGTCATAAAGCGTTCTAGAACAGCAAAGGAATGACCAGGTGTCACACTATGCGAATTGTGCACCGAGAGGGTCGTCGAATTCTTAAACTCTTTACAAAAGCTAGATCTTGTTCATTTATCAACTGTGAGGCATACCCACTGTGGGGGATCGTGGGGATTTCAAAAGCTTCTGGCATAGTTCTTCATCGTCGTCAGCCACAACACAAAAAAACAAAAATGCCCAGAGTTTCTTGCAAGTGTGCAGTGGTTTTCCATGAGAATGACGGAAGATGGCATAGTGACTGCCTGCCTACTACACAATGAATTATGGTGTAGTGGGTACTCAGCAAGTGTGCATGCAGCAGCTACCCATCGAGTGCTAAATAAAGGCTTGAAAGGTCGCTCTTCCAGCTTTTGCTGTGAGAGCGCTGCACATTCTGTGCAGGCCTGGTGGTTTTTTGAATGCGAAGCATTTCTTAGCAAACTTCGGCGACTTTGAGCGTATCTATCTATCTAGCCGACTATGGCTTTTAGCTCTCCTGGCCATTTCGATAATGGTAAGGATACCAAACTTTGTATGGCATAACATGACTCTATGAAGAACAAATTTGACTAGTCATGACATGAAAATCATGACATGTATGTCATGAATGCGGTGGTTTCATTAACATGACCTGTTGCAAAACTGGTATGGTATGACATAATTGCATAGCGAACACAAGCGACAGACTCTAACATGAAAATCATGACTTGCGTATCATGTAACAAGACTACATGCCAAGTTCATGACGCGCTCGTGGCCGTTTCGCTAGCGTCACATATACCAAATTTGGTATTACGGTACGTGAATGGATGACGAAGGTATTTGACTGGTGCAAACATGATAATCATGAGTTGCTTGTCATGTAACAACATGACTACATGCCACGCTCATGATGCACCGGCTGCCGTTTCGCCAGCTTCACTTATACCGAATTCGGTATTATGGGACGTGAATGGATGACGAAGGTATGATACTGGTGCAAACGTGATAAACATAAGATGCATGTCGTGTAACAACATGACTACATACTATGCTTATGATGCGCTCGTGGCCGTTTCGCTAGATTCCCATGCACCAAACTCGGTATTACGCGAAGTGAACGGACAACATAGGTAAATGACACATCCAAACATGATTATCACGACATGCGTGTCATGTAACAACATGACTACATGCCACACTCATGATGCGGTCGCGGTCGTTTTGCAAGCTTTACATATGCCAAATGTTTTATTACGTGACGCCAGTGGATGACGAAGGTATGCGAGTAGTGTAAACATGATAATCGTAAGATGCGTGTCATGTGGGAACACGACTACATGCCACAGTCAAGGCGCCAATACATTTCGACGTGACGCGGTGCGCGTGCTCGCCGGCGTTCATTTTGTGGCGTCACGCCATGCACCAGTCCTGCCATTACTCGCATGCGTGCACTGCGCAGCGGTGCTTTGACGCATGCGCGTTTCAGCGCGTCCGCCATCCCTCCGTCACAAATGTTGTCTGGATAACTCATTGGCGCGAATTTTGCGCTGGTTGCCGTCGGGCCGCGCCGAAGAACGCTGGTCATGTCGATCACGCCTGGCGTCAGACCATAGAGTGCTCGCGTTTTTCTAGCGTAGCGTCGCTATGTCCAGCGTGTGCGTGTGTGATTACTACATTAGAGTATATTGGGCCCATCTTGATGCGTTTGCGACCGTTTCACTAGCTTCCATATGTACTAAATTTGGTATCACGTGATGTGAATAGATGACGAAGGTAAACAACACATCCAAACATGATAATCATGACGCGGAAGTCATGTACGGCATTATTTACCTCCACCTCGTAACGTTGTGCTGATTTTAAAGTGACATATCAAGGTTTTTTATTCGTGCTTTGCATATCATCGATTCCCACTGTATGTGGGATCTGCCAATTTTCATGTTTTCGGTCTGTGGAAACCTTTCCTGGTGGACATACAGCTGATATCCTGGTCTGGTTTGTGGAACTTGACGTCACAAGCTTGAGAACGCAAAAGGGCGCGATGCAGCTAATTTCACCATGCAAAATAACTTTCACTTGACGTCAACATTCATTATAACAGTGGTACATCACTACTTGCACTTCACAAGGCAACAAATTACAATGCACACAGCTCATTCGAGTGCAAGGCATTCTGCACAACCTTGTGAAGTGGTGGTTCATCACCATTATGTGATAGTGATGACACTGTCTCAAACACTTCTGACGGGAGGCTGTTGGCGACGCAGTTTCTGTTTGTTTTCGCGTGCAAGCAATTTTTGGACTCATTTTAACGGGAGAATCGTGTTGGATTGAACTTTTTAAAGTTGAGAATAGATTCACTCGCACCTGCTACAAATAAGCAATGCTGTTCTGCCATGGGCAAGAATAATTTAATCTACTTTCCTTAGAAAAGAACAAGGTCGTGTCGTGGGCTTATTCAGGTAGTCTTTACATGTTTTTTTTGTGTGTGCAAGGCTGAGCGTCACTGCCTGTATTCTTAGTTTTTCCTATTAACTTATACGTAGCACTCAACTTATACAACACTGAACACTTAACTTATGCACTTAACGACACTTAACTTATACGATGGCTTTGCGTGGTCCCCTGAAAGTCGTATAAGGAGGGCATCACTGTATATAATTTTAGAGCAGTCCTTGAAAATTCTGCTTTTATTCAATTCTTTCAAAATCATTTACAACAAGAATTGGAAATTAAGTTTGTACTTGCCATGGATGTTGCCTTGAATATAGGAATGCTAGACCCCCCCCCCACACACACACACACGCACACACACTGTAAAGTTGTAAATGTCAAATTAACATTTATCTTACCTGAGCAGCTATAAGCAGTGAAAAGTGTTCTCTAAATTTGTTAGGCAGAATCTCTTAGTCTTTTACAGTTCTGCTACTTTTCGTTCAGTAAAGAACGAAATTGAGTGAATGCTGCTAAAGCCCACGGCATTAGGGAAAGCTGGTGTTGGTACTGTGAGGTGTCTCGTCACTATTACTTTAGCTTTCTTTCGTACATCTCTTGGGCGTTGCTAAGGCCCATGGTAAAAAAGACAATTTAGCTTTTGCAGTACAGCCCATTATTTAGTGCGTTCATCAGTACAGCAGCAGCTGTTTAAGCGTTACTCGTTCAGCTCGTGACATGACTAATTCTAGCTATGACGTGGCAACAAACCTTAAATAAGCCAAGCAATGCTAGAGCTACCACATGTACATCTTAACATTAATGTTGCTTCCCTCTGTATTACTGTTGTTGCCACATGTATCACTTTATACTACTATAGCTACAATATGTATTACTCTGGCTACCGTATGTACCATCTATTATTGCTGTATTACTATAGCAATTTTGTGTACCACGTAACATCTTTTGAAAGACTTTCAAGAATCAACACTGTTCACTGCTGAATTGACGGTGGCACACATTTACACCCTGGATACTGTGTGTCGGGTCGCTTTGGTTTGGCAGGGCAAGGCAGTGGCACTGCCCGCAGATAGCAAGTCAGTGGAGCAGCGTGTCATGGAAGTGGTTCGAGCCGCCGAGCAGCTTGTGAGTCCTGCCCTGGCGGCAGCTGCGACATCGGTGACGCCACCAGCCACCTCCGTGCCTGCAAGCGAGCAGAAGACTACAACTGTCATCATGACCAAGAAGTCAGTCAGCCACCCGCCAGCATCAGCAGCAGCCACGGTAAGAAGATCACACGAGTTACTTTAAAGGGATGCTAGTGCGAAACACTAAATCAGTTTGAGGCGATATAACTTATTAGAAATTTCTGCTGTCAACTTCATTGTTTTATTATCAAATGTGTGAATGTAGGCCAAAATTTCAGTGGTAATGCCAGTGCCTGCATGTCAGTGGGATGTCGGTGTTTAGTGTCGGGCCTTCTTGGAACACAGTGCAATTCATTTTTACTGATGAATAATTATGAAGGGCCCTAGGACACTCCATAAAAATCGAAGCTTGTTGGTATGGGTACTCCAGGTGTACCATTGTTGCCTTTTTATGAATATCATTAAGTCCTTTGAGAGCAGTTGAAATGACTTGACATTGTGCATGGCATTGTGATAAAAATGTTTGTCAAGCAAGCTCTAAAATTCAGTTGGGTCATATAGTCTGTGGCTCTACATTATGTTTGCAAGGCTGTTCCAGTTGAGCAGGGCTCTCTCAATGTATTTTATGACATGATCTCGGAAGATACCTCATTATTATTGCAGACTGAACAATAAAAGGAGGCTCTAAGAACTGCACTTTTGTTCTGATATAGTGGATGCAGTTTTGTTGTCGATTAGCAGCACTAGCTACTATAGCCAACAATTTCTAGGTTACCCAAACAGCAGGGAAACTTTATCTTTGCACTGAAACAGAAGTAGGCTTATCTGCATTTGCTGAAATCCCTTTCTTGTAATATATCCAGCTAATGAACTCTTTCAGTAAGAGAATGGTTGATGAGCATGAAAAAACAAAAAGTGCCGCCATATCCACGAAGTGAATGATGATGAGTGGGCGAAGCTCCGGTGGTAAACCTGGTAAACCATGAATCCTCTGTACATTTTGCCCACTCGATTTTATTACATCGCTCCCCCTAGCGTACGTCGCCGCACTAAATCGAACGATTGCCTTCAACCAATGACACGCGCCATATGTGACATCATTCCTATTTTATAAGATCTCGCGTCTTTCATTAACTACAAGTACCGCTTTCTAGTTTATAACATCTTGCATCTTTTCATCATCAGCTACAAGTACCACCATCTAGTAAACACTACAAGAACTAAACGAGAGGTGGCTACATACAGGAGACGGTACCGCCATCTAGTGAACACTGCAAGAACTAAACTAGAGGTGGCTACATACAGGGGACGGTATCGCCATCTAGTGAACACTGCAAGAACTAAACTAGAGGTGGCTGCATACAGGGGACGCACAGCCCACGCCCTAAGGAGCTTCGCCCCTAAAAAACAAAAAAATGTCATAGCGAAAGACTTGCAGAAACAGTACCGTGGAGTTCCCATGCATAATGGATTTTGACATGGTCCGCATGGGCTTAGTTAGCAGAGGTGAGTCCGTCATGTAGTATGGTAGACTTGGGATAATTCAAACTCTGATAATTCTTACTTTCAGGTAATTTAAACAAAATTCAATTTTTTAGTTGGCCCTCTATTCTTCCAGTCTATTTAAAAGCCTCTTAAATCAAAATCCATAATTCGGTTAATTCATAATTTTTGCAATTCTATAGGAGAAAATATCTGCTGCTTTCTGACTAATATTTAAAAATTTGCGTGCTTTATATAATAATAAGTCTAAAAATGAAAAATAGGCACCTCAGGTCTTCAAAAAGAAAGGCTGTGCTTGTAAACAAATGTTTGAAACGAAACACATGCATGGTAAACCGTGATGCTTTGCAGCTGGTATAGAGAGCTTTGTACTGAAGGCACATATAGCAAAGAAGCAGTTGGCAATTCACGATTTCATTAAAAGGTCTGATCAGCAGTAAATAGCCATTAAACTTGTGACCTTACACCTCTGCTTTCTGTTCATTGCATGCAGTTAAGGTTCAAAAATGCTTAAAAAGATTTTAAATATAATAAAATCAATGCTTAATCATAATGTGTGGGTTCATATCACTCACAGTCATATATCTGAGAACTTCTGATAATTCAAACTTCTTGATAATTCAAACAAAATTTGGAGGTCCCTTCAAATTTGAATTAACGAGAGCCAACTGTATTCTGAAGAAGCCAGATACTGCAGTTGCCAAGTTTTAGTAATGTTTAGATATTGCACTGGCCCATATTTAAAATAATGTGTGTTAGATTAAAATGATGCTGTACTAGATTAAAATGATGCTGTACTGATATACTAGTACAAAAGTTTTTTTATTTTACTGCATAAAAATTTCAAAATAATCAGAAACTTGGTCTTTACATAATACCATATTAGTGAGAACTAATTTAGTAGTTTTATTTGGTGTTCCTGTAGGTGACTCTTGAAAATTTACTGGTTTATTTGGTAGGGTGTTGAATTCAGTGGTGTAAAATTCGTTAAATTGCTTTGATTATGGTTGTGAGGAGCAGCACTGGCTTGTGTTACTATACGCATAACCCAATAAATGAGCAGTCAATTGTGCGAAAGTCACCATAACAGTGAAGAAGACAAAAGAGCTCCGAGTTCTGTCTTTTTTCCTGTGGGGTTGTTTCTGCTAGAGCAATATTTTTTGTCAGCTTTCTAACAAATCAACTTAGTATTTTGAATCGTTAAATATTTCTGTTACTGCAGGCATGTGAAAATGCTGTAGTCTGGCTTATGTGCATGACAGCAAGCACTATAGCGGCTATGTTTCGTGCATCTTTCTAGATTTAGTCACCTGCTCCGCTTTTTTCCCCTCTTGCTTGGCCTAGCATGAGATAATTTTAAAATGAGACTAATTTCATCCACTTTTTTTTTTGTAGAGATACAAGTTTTTATTTTGTCAAGCAGCACCACTATGCAGATTGTGTTAATGGCTGCATTAAAGACATGTTTTTGGGTTGCATTATCAGGAAATTGAATCCAATTCATCTGCATTGTATATTACTGAAACATGTTCTGTAGACCCATAAACGCCAACAACCTGAAGATAAACTTTCGTGCCGGCCCAAGTCCAGATGATGTAAACTTTTTGCAGTTCCTAGGGGCTAAATAATTTGCCACGAACACCTGCGTGAACATTTGAGCAATCGTTTAGTATTGGAAATAACTGAAAACTTTCCTTAAGGAACTTTTGGGCACTTCAGAAATAACTAGCTACTAAAAACAATACTTGGCATGTTTGACGAATTCTGAAATTTGACACGTTGTTACTAATCAGTGTGGAAATTTGGGCTTTTCTCTCTTTGCGTTCTACTTTGATTGCTATGTTAAATAATGTGAAAGTTGATATATTAAATGAGCACTGCAACATTTTTCAACATTGTCAGGATACCTTGCCTACTTGAAGTCAAGGTTACTGTATTTTAACTTAGAAAAATGTCGCAGGACACCTTTAGGGCTTCGATAAAGTTGGGGGTTGATAGTAATTCTAAATGTAGCTCACGCTATTTAGTTCGTGCTTATGTCATTTGTATCGTTTAGTACATGTGTTAGCCTTCAAAAATCGCATGTGTGATGCTCTGTGTATACCTATACTCTAATAACGCTGTCTAGGTCCCGAATGTGAAAGTAAGGTTTAGCAATATTGGGTCTTGCTCCGCTTCAGCCGACCTTGCTTTGTGCTTGTAAAGTAAAGGCGCACAGCTGTACAGATGATTGCCTCGGTCCTTAGCTGTGGTGCTGCCATTATTTGCATAAAACAAAAGCTTTTCCTTTTTATTTACTAATTGGCCACTCTTACATTACAAAGGGCTCAGTTTACTGAGGTATTTGCATACTGCTAACTTTCTTTACCTGTTGATTTGGCTATTTAAGGGTTACCTGTCACAGAGGACGTTATGCTGTTTTTCAGTATTTAGCAGGCAATACTGTGAAAGCTAAAATGATGTGACGTACTGCTAGCACTTGTACAAAAAATAATGTCGTTTCACAAATTAAGTATGAAAAATGATGTCTGACACTTTGTACAAAGGTAGGTTGTGACTACGTGTATAGGCTCATCTGTACACGTCAATCATTCTTATACGAGAGTACGTAATATATATTACCTTATCTCAACTCGGTTTGTACACTTGGTCATCTTGTCCATTTTGCTTCATTATTGACATTATCGACTTGAAAATTCACATTCACAAGGATTCCAGAGCTTCCAGAAGGTTTTGTGCCAGAATGTGTGCCTTACCTAAGCACGAAAGTATTTCCTTAAAATTTTTGTTATGGCTTGAGCATTGGAAGAACAGTTGTTTCTTAGCTCCTAGAATGTTCTTCTTTCTTTATCCTCCTCAGTCCCAAGGATGCACCAATGAAAAAAAGCTTCTGGAAAGCTGCATTTCTTGACTATCTGCCCTTAAAAATAAATGCAGAAAGATTATGAATCCAAAAAAAAAAAGCTGAACGGTTGTCTCAAAATTTGATGGTACGCATTTGCTTACTCCGGATCGTTTGAAGACTCCAAGATTGAGTGAAACAAAAATATCAGACCGAAATGACTTTCACTATGATCTACAGGGTGTCCACAGTTAAAGGAATGTACTATAGACGTCATTCATACTATAACTAAGAAAGAAAAAAAGCTCTCACTTATCTTGAAGACGCAGCCGAGCATTCCTGCAGTACTTGGTCGTTTTCGTTTGCTTTTTTTTTGTGAATATGACTAGACACACAGTGCCACTTCTCAGTGCTTCGTGCAGGCAACTCATCCTTACTGTGCCAAGACCAATTCGGGCATGCAGATATGAAATTGTGATAATCTGTAGCCTTTAAAACGGTACCCAACTGGGTACCAAGGGACCGAGGGGGTTATGGCTAATCCTTGTTGGTAGCTAATCGAAACATAAGGAAAAAATGAACTGCTTTCTCTGACATTAGTGTAATGCTGCTCAGCAGTTAAATAAAAATTCCAATTGTGATGTTCGTTCAGGACACACATTGAGCAAACTTGTCTTCTTCTACATGCTCTTTTTTCTCTTTTATTCCACCTTCGTATCTACGTCCCTCCCGTCTGTCCCCTTTCCCGAATCTGTTTTGTATCACCTCTCCAACACTTTTTGCTTATTTTA